GCACTTTTGTCAGAGTCCTGGCCTGGTGTGAGGGAGAACCTACAGGGCGGAGGCAGGTCCTCAAGGTTGGGTCGGGATTCCCAGAAGCTTTGGGCACTCGTCCCCTGACCACCCTGGGCTTTCTTAAAAGCTGCCAGCACCAAGTCCCCACCCTTCCCAGGACTTTCCGGCTAACAATAAGCCACGGCCAGCAGGGCAGGGCTGGCGACACACCCAGGCTGTTGGGCTCTGAGGGGAAGAGAAGCCCCCTCCCGCAATGGGGAGCAGGGGCTGCATAGGACTGGTGGCTTTCTGGAGCGGAGGAAATGTCCCCAAATACTGTAAGGATTGGCAGCTCAGCCTTTGCTGCCTTTGATGGCTTTGAAGTGAGTCATACAATTGGAAAGATCTTTCTGGAACCAAAGCCATCTTGAGTCTCAGCTCTTTTGCAGCTGGCGTTTCTAGGCATCCCTCGAGAGTAGGCCAGGGAAATCCTCCCAACCCAGGAAACGGGGGAGCCCAATGGCTCTAAAACCCCTCAGAAAGAGCCGAGCCCCAACCTGGTACCTTTGGATGCTTCCATTTTGAGCAGCCTGCCACCCTGGCTGCCGCAGTGCCCGGGGGGTGCCTGAGCTTCTGCATGACACTTGCCCACATGCCGAGCTTGGAACTGGGGAGCCTGGGTTTGAATCTCAGCCCCACCACTCGGTAGGCAGATCTTGTGTAAGACACTTGGTCTCAATTCTAAAATAGAAATGATGTCAGGAGCTTTGTGAAATCAACCACGTGATATGCTTAGCTCAGGACTGGGCAAGTGAGTCCTTATTAGATGACAGTAATTTTACTAATAAAAGCTAATGTTTGAGTGCTCATTTTGTATCACGCTGGGTCCTGTTCTACATGATTCTCACAATAACCCTTTGAGGTAGGTATTATTATTCCTATTTTATAGAAGTGGAAATTGAGGCTTAGAGAAGTTAAGCAAATTGTCACTAGTTACACAGCTAATTATTGACGGAGCTAGACTCAAACCCAGGCAGTTTGATGCTATAGCCTGCACTCAGCTGCCATGTAATACTGTTATTACTACTACTTGGCACATCTTCAGGGGACCTCGATCTTAGACTATTATTGGACAAAGAGAGTGCTGTTATTGAAGCATATAAAAGAAGTTGTGGGCTTGTTTTAATGCTGGAGTATTCATATAAAGACTAGAGGGGGAAAAAAGCCCAAACAAAAACTAAAATTCTCGAATGATTAAGCTATTTAAAATAGTATAGACCTCATCCAAGTACCAGAACCCTCATCACCTCCCACCATCTGTTAATATAATGCTTTCCTGTGCTTCCTATGTTTCTGCCTTACTTCATTTGGCCTCACAACCCCCTAAGAGAGCCAGAGAAGGTATTCATTCCTAATAGTCCGATCGGGAAACTGAGGCTCAGGGAGCTTACGGGGTTCTTCAAGTCTAAGTGGCTAATTACTCTTAATAAAGATCACTAAAGTTTCTCGAGCAATTTCTGTGTGCTAAGTACAGTACTGTGCTCAACATGTGTTATCATAACAGCAACAATGTTTGATGGGTATCATTACCTTGTCCATTTTGAAGATGAACAAATTGAGGCCTAGAGGGGCTAAATAACTCGCCCTAAGACACACAGCTAGTGAGTACCCCCAACTGTTGTCCATAACCCTGCCGTGGTGGTAGTGATGGGGCTCACGGCCAGACTGAAGGGAACTGGCCAGTCTCACACTGAGAACCTGCTTTGTGCAGTGCGCCCGGGGAGATTCAGAAGGTGGGAGACACAGTCCTTGCCTTCAAAAGCTCAGAGGCAGTGGAACGCAGAGGAAAACAGCACAGGATTTGAAGTGGGACAGACCTGGGTAATCCCAGCTCTGCTGCTCACTAGCTGCGTGATTAGGCATGTTTAATCAGCCTCCGAGCTCTGGTTCCTCACCTGTAGAGTAGAGCTACAATTATCTGTCTTGCAGGACTGTCATGAGGGCTATAGCTAACACAAAGCCTGGCACTCAATATAAAGATCTCACTACAACTAAACTGAGCAGAAAAACATGCAAAGCCAGCAGTACCAGGCAACACTTGAAAAGTGTCAAATGTGATGCTCCACCATAGGTATGCAAAGAATTTACTGGGAAGGTTGGGTTGGGCCCATCAAGACAGGCTTTTGAGAGGGTGTGAACTCAGGCTTGTCTTTGATTTAGGGCAAATGGAGCCCATGGGAAATTCACATGGTAACTCCAAGAGCTATGGGCAACTGATTTCAAATAGTCAACATTGCCATTACCTCCTGTCCCTGGGGCCAGATCTTCTCTGCTCTCCACCTCCTTGAAGAACTAGACATTGTACAGGAGAAATGTCATTGGCAAAGCTACAGAGGCAGGAGAGGGCATGGGGTGTTCAAGGAACTCACAGTGGTTTGGAAGAGCTGGAGGGCAAGGTTAAAAGGTGGGGCATTGTGGGAGGGGAAGCCAAGTGGTGGGCGAGGCAAGGCCCGCTCATGAAGGGCCTTGGATTCCCCACATAGGCTTTTGAGCTTTGCTGTGAGTGTGTGAGGGCTAACCACCGCAGTGAGGCACAGAGTCAACTTTCAATGAAATGGTGATTAATAGTGGCAAACGCCACAGAGAGCACAAGATGACTGAAGATAAATAGTGGCTGTGGTAATTATGGACCAAAGTGGTGATGCTGGGGTGGGTGGAGGCCAAAATGAGTAGAGCTCAGACCTCTAGCGGGGGCCTCCTGACCTGTTCTACAGTAGTGAACTAAGGTATGCCAACTGTCTTGAGAACAACCTCAGTTTCCAGCTTCCAGTTGTGGGTCCACCTGAATGCTAGTGCTACTGGCCCCTGGACAGGTGTTACGGACTGCATGTTTGTGTTCCCCCAAAATTCATATGTCAAAACCCTAACCTAACCCCCAAGAGGAAGGTATTAGGAGGAAGGGCTTTTGGGAGGGAACGAGATCATGAGGATGGAGCCCTCATGATGGGATTAGTCCCTTATAAGAGGAACGTGAGAGCTTACTTCCTCTCTCTGCTCTCCACCATGTGAGGACAAAAGACGACGACGGTGGTCTACAAACTCCAACAGGCTCTCACCAGACACTGGATCTGCCAGCACCTTGATGTTGGACTTCCCGGCCTCCAGAACTGTGAGAAATAAATGTTTGCTGTTCAAGCCACCCAGTCTATGGTATTCTGTTATATACGCCCAAACTGATGAAGACAACCGGCTTGATAGACAAACAGTAAAAGGCTGTGGTGGGAGTAGGCCATCTTGAGTATAAATAGATCCTTGCATTTTCTGGCAAGCCCGAAATCTTGGCAGTAAAGATGACAAGTAAGTTGAAACCTGGAAGATTTTCTTCACTGAAAATTTAATAATGCAGGGGAGGTCCAAGATTTGAAAGATGTTGCCCCCCATCGCATTCTAGTTTCTTAGTAAAATGGCCCACACTCACGCCAGTTCAGAAGCTCCTGTCCTCACACCTCCTCACATACCCAACCTTGTCTAAATGATGAGATTGTGTCACAAACAAAATCAAACACCAGCTAGACCAGCACACTGCAACAGCTCTGTTAAGTTTTTTTTTTCTTTAGTCGACTTGGTCAATATGGTCTGGAGTATTGGACAGTCCCGGAATATACCATTGCTATTTGTTGAATTTCCCCCTCTAACCAGCCTTCCTGATAAAAATGCCTCTCTAAGCCTTCAAGGTTTGATTCTGATTGTGTGTTGGTTTTGGAAGTTGGGCTGGTACTTTTTCAAATGTGACAGACCTTTAAAAGGAGCAGGAGAACAAGAAAGAAAACACGGTGTGGAGGCATTTACGAATAAAGCACACACTTTATTCACTGAGTTGTGAGTACAACAGTGACGCAGAGCGTGGCACAGAGGGGCGGCAGGCGCTGCCTGCAACAGGAGCGCAGGGCAGGTCGGAATCGAGAAGCACAGCGACACAGGGCCAGCTGGCAGCCTCCACCTCTGCGTGCTAGCACGCGGTACTTGGGGCACAGACGGACACCCACTCACTTCCACGGGGACACGACACATCTTTTAAACAGCGGTTCTTCCCGATATTTGCTTTCATAGCCTGAAAGGGGAGGGAGGGCAGGAAGAACTGTATATGCCTTCCAACACTTGGGAAAAAATGCCATAAACCCAACTTAAAATGAAAGAACCGCGAGAGCTTCGATGCGGGATTGTCGGCAACTCACAGAAACCACACACATTTATTACTGGACGGGTCTGTACATAAAACCCCAAAGAACATCAATTTTGTGGACATTCGTTTTCTCTTCCATAAAGAAACAAATGCCTATACAATCATTAAGTGGCTCATCGCCTTTCTGAATGTTAGTGTATACAGTATTGTCTCCTTCTGCCTTTGGTGAAGGGGCTCAGAAAGGGTCTCATGGGATCTTCATTCTTGGGAAGAGACATTTTTGGGAAGAATTTTATTTATAACAATCACCACTCAATTACACTAAGCATCAGAAAATGTTGGATTTGTTTAATTTTGCTGTGTACACATACATCATCTAGAAAGCTTTTTCAGCTTAAACTGATCATCTCCCCCTTTCTTTTTGAGTTTGCCACGCATTAAACTTGCCCAAATAAAAACACAAAAATCCATATGCAAAGCATATCAGTCACCATCTCCCCACTGCTTCCTGGGCAGCAAATGGAAAGACAGTCATTTTCTTAAAATGCCAAAGTAAAAGTTTCTCTTTCTTTTCATTACAACACAGTTGGGTAGTTCCCTTAATGTACTCTAAAGTGGTGCCATTGCAAATCTCAAGCCTAAAACAACCTCTTTTGCTGAACAGAACATTATTCAGAAGGGAGCACTAATGACTGAGTTTTAGGGCATACTGACAAACACTTGGTTTGTAAAAGAAAGTAATTTTATAAATCAAATAAAATCAAAGTTGGCTTAGGAAGTAGATTAAACAGTGAGCAGAAACACAGAAGAGGTAAAAACTGAGCTGGCTTCAGAGGACGCAGAATTCATTTTCCTTCCACCATCTTTCGAGACAGTCAGAAAGAGGGCTCTGTGAGCCTACAGCCTGGAGGGGTCACCTGCCCCTTCAACACGCAGGAGAATGGAAGAATGCTAATACCAAGTTTGCTTCGAAGAGTTTTTAGAAAGACCTACCTAGTCAAAAGTGGTGAATTTGAATTTTTTAAACTTGCAAAAGCGTATATACTTTATATAATCAGCTGAGAAGCAATTCTTTAGAAAAAGGTGTTTGTTTTAAAGTGTAAAGAAATTAGGTGAAAGTTTTATAAACATTTCCAGCAAGGCTTCTCCAAGTGGAGTTGATCGACAAAACCAGATTAGGGGATGAGAATTGAAATGAGTTGCTCCAGCCTCACCTCAGAAGAGGAAACTCAGCTTGGAAACAAGAGAATTGGGAGAAGGGGGAGAGACTAGAGGACATGACAGATAAAAGCTACTTTTTTTTTTTGCACCTTTTTACCCATTAACCCTAGCTTTTCTGTTCAAGGTTTCAGAGAACAGTTTAACTATTGAAGAAGTCACATTAAGAATGTTTCATAACTAACCCAAACCAAAATATGGATGCATAGCCAGCTGTCCGAGTTTCCAAATGCGCTTTATGTCTCATCATAAATCACACAGGAAGACTAAATGGCATCCTGGCTTTTCTGGAAGAAACTTCAAAGGAAGCACTGACTTCCATATTGCCATAGAGGCCTCCTTGACTTCATGCAATCAGCGTATGCTTAAAGAATCACAAGTCCAACGCTCAAAAATGTAGCCCTTTATGTATGTACTGGGGAAGCTTGCCACGTGCATAATCCCTTTCCTAGAGCGAACAATCCCTGTTAATTTGTGTTAACAACTAGAATTTTTACATAAAGTACAGGGCAGGGATCAAGCAGAGAATGCTGATTTCCCATGCAGTGGCCTGGACATTTTGGGGACAAGCATGCCCAGTTTAACAAAATGCATAGGGCATGGTAGCCCATATATTAGATTTGGCAGTTTGGAGAAACAGATTGCTCCATGACCCATCCCTCCAGAGGGAGCCTTCTGCTGGGGAGTGGAGTTGAGGAGCCCACTCTGCACTGCAGTTTCCAATGCCCCCTCCCCAGGGCACAACACCGTTCTGCTTGCAGACAGGAGGCAACTGATGTTTTCTGGCAATGCATATTTGCATCGTGTAGTTTAAATTTGCTAATACACTTGATATGGAAAGAAGCTCCCCCCGCCCCCATGCTGTATGCAGAACTGAATTCAAAAGATACAAGAAAAATCGAGTTTCATTAGTGCGAGCAGATTTGGGGTTCAGTTCTTTAACTACTGCTGCAATTTTTCTTACACTGACATTTGATCTGCAGGTGCATCAACCAATGAAAATATTGAGGGTTCTTTATTATCCCCATAATGAAGAAAATCTCTCTGCCAGCCTAGCGCTGGGACCCATCTGGCCATCCTTGTCATTGATTGTGGCAGAGAAACACTGGGAATACACCATAGTCCCCACCCCTCACACTTTGCCAGAGCAAAGCAAGGACTAAGGGGCACTGGCATCGTGATAAAGCTCCCAGCATAGGAAAGGACAGAGAGAAGATGAGACAGCGGAAATCTCGGATGAAGCAAGAGGCAACTGATATATGAAGGGGCGACACTGTAAGGAAGAGCTGGTCTCCTCAGGTCTGCCCCGTCAGAGCTGTTTGCAAAATATGTTAGTAGGTCAAACACACACACACACACACACAAGCGAATTTGTGAGAAAAGTCCTCAAACATTCAGTGCCTAGCACTGAAAGGACAGGCAAATTCAGATGCCTCCAGGAAGAGCGCAGGAGAACACCACAAAGCGATTACAGTACTCACTTCACATCACCCAGCTGATGGAGTGTGTCACAAGGTTGGGGTCTACAGCACAGGTTCAGAAACTATTCTGCTTGCTTTTTACCATTGGTGTCGTCTATTAACATCCTAATCCTTGGTGCCAGTGGGAAGAATTTCTGAGCTTTTATTATCAGCGGCATAGGCAGCTGAATTTACACGTTTTCTCCTTTGGCTTTAGAACCAAGCTTAAATTCCTAAGCAGAGCCCCAAAGCAGGAAAATACATGTGACCCGACCTCCCGTGTGTGGAGGTGGCGATCCTCTCCCTCATCCAACTCATGGCCCACTTAAGTCATAGCCTGAGGCTTCCAGGAATCATGATCTGGTCCTAGATGCAAGTTTTGGTGAAATCCTAGGCTCCCATTTGAATCTTATGTTGCCAAGTTTGAGGACTCTGGTAAGATGCTCTGATCCCCATACACAGCCCGACCCTAGGTCTGTGGTCTTCAGTCTGATGCTGACCTGAGCTACATCAGTCATGGAGTACGCTGGCCTCCAGGCACCAACACCCCCCCATGAAGGACATGGTGTCGGGGATACAGTTTGGCCTCACTCTTGATCTCTGAGGCAGGCGCACCTGTGCACACGTCCCTTAGAAGCTGCAGCACAGTGGGACAAGCATTCAAGCAGAAATGAAATTAAAAAGCACATGCAGACTCACAAAACCACCCTGGGTGAGTGAAAACACACACACACATCCATACACACAAACCATGAAGTCCCCAGTGCTGGGCCAGAAGGAAAGCTGCAAAGGCCAAATTAAATCAGTCTGAGGCAATCTATCTTGGAGTCGCAGAGATTTAAAATGGAAAAACAGGCCTTTCCTTAGCCTACTACAGAAAAGATCTTAAAAAAAAACAAAACCAGCGTGGACTGGATCTGAATCAGAGGATGCCAGATATAGAGCAGGGGTGCTGGTGGAAGAACTCGCACTGAGAGGACACAGAACTTTTTTTTTTGGCTACAGTGCTATGGCCCGTGGGCTAAAATCATCTAACAGCATGCAACTGGGCCAATCTGGAGACAACTCTTCCCTTTCCTTTTTCTGCAAAGGGAGCCCGAAACAGCTCCCGTTCTTGGTGGGGAGGAAGAAGGAAGCACACTATCTGATGCAGAAAGAGAGTTAAGGGAGGTTTTCTTTTCATTCCTTTTCCTTCTCTTTCTCTTAAAAAAATTTCTTTTTTAATAATAGCTAAGTACTTTGCCAACCAGGTCCTAGCAAACAGTAGAGAACAACGAGCTTGTCAGAAATTGCTCTGGCTGCTATTCAGCCTGCTCAGACAGAGCTGCCGGGTTCCCCGACTCGGATTTCCATCCTGCTGGGGCGCAGGCAGGGCTGCATGAGGCCAGTGAGGAACGGCGTGTGCAAAACGGCTGCTACCACATGGAGATGTCCCTCAGGCTCTTCCTTCTTAGCCACAGTGCTACATAATAAATATATTCATACTTTGGAATTATTACAACTGCTTTTTTTCCATGCGGCATCCTAAGGGCACTTGCTGGCTCTTATCCATACAGTCAGCACTACTGTTGGACAACAGTTAAAAGAAGACAAAAGAAGTAGCTCCTGTTGTATACATAAGGTGATGTAAAAAGGTCACATGTGAACACGACTGTCAAGTGCGGGAACATAGAAATTTGTACCCCATTGCTTCTCGGCAAGTGTTGCCGTGGGTCAGCTCAATATTTGGCTCACCGGTATTTCAATCAGATTCTCCCTTTCTGTTGTTGCTGAGGGACAGTGGTTTGCAAATTCTCCAATCAACTTTGGGCCTTAATACAGCATCCTGTGATCCTGTGCGTCACGCCATTGTCAGTCCTTTCGCTAACTGCTGTCTACGTGTGTGACTCAGAAGAGTTTTGCTTTCTTCTTCATGTCGTTGCGTCTCCAAAGAGGTAACTTGTCAAACTCCTGTATGGACATGCCAAAGATTTCCCGAAACACTTCTGGGGCTAAGTGGCGCTGTGATGGGGAAAAGAACAGTGGTCAGTCCTGATGGCCACACGGATAGCCTTGAGAGTTGCTCTCTAGTTTACAAGTAATCATTTTGAAGAGCAAGGCAGAGTGACGGAAGAGGAGTTCACCTCTGAGGCCTGTTAGCAGACACTGGACCCAATGGTTCCTCACCTGGTCCGGCCAGGTGAGGCGCCCTCCCCACCAAACAAAAGAGCTGGCAGAGTATTAATGATTAGTATAATGACATGGAATGGTGCTGGGACATAGGAAGGGGATGCTGGAGGCAACTCCAGGTCAGGTCCTTGGGATATTGACAAGGTGCAGGGAAAATGGACCATAGCAATAAGAAAGCCAGAGAGACTTCCAGGGTGGTCCTTGGGGAGCCCTGGGGCTTCCTCCTGTTTTAGCAACAGGAGTTCAGGTGGATGCCCTGTCTACTGAGGAGAACCTTCCATCTGTCGTCCCTCCTAGAAAAGTTCTCTTAGGATACCGAAGCCTTTATTCTCTGTGCCAGGCTGACCTCGCGTACAAAGGTGCTGCCTTTGTGAGGGAAAAGTAACGATTCTTCATGAGACTGGCAACCAGAGCTTTTCTTAATTAAAATCATCCAGATGGAAAAACACAATGTTCAGTCTTCCATGTCTAAGGAGGTCTAGGGTATGTGTATCCAGATAACCCTTCAACAAGGAATGTGGAAACAGCCAAGAGAGAACCTTGTCCAGTGCAAACCTCTTTACTGAGAGCTCCTTCCCCTCTCTCAACAGACTCAGCTCAGGCTCTGGGAAAGATAAGGATCTGGGGATATCTGAAGAGGGATGGAGACCTCACTCTGCATCACCAGCCACAGTTATGGCAACGTCAAGTTCCCAAAGAAAATGACTAAAATCATACTGTATTCTCCTGGGTCATTCTGGATTTTACCACACATTTTTATGCTGATCTCTTAAGGGTAAATTTGGGTTTTTCTTCAGTTATCTTAGTTCTACCTACAACATGAGGTTGATTCTTTTTCTTTTTTGTCTTCATTAAAACATTTCTTAGGGGAAAGTTGGGGGAAATGCACAGGGATTTGCAGTTGGGACTGGATTATTATTATTTTTTTTTTACCTCCAGCCTGGTTCTGTCCACGTCTCTTAGGATTTTGTTGCGCCCTCTGTTGGTCACCATAAGCATTTCATATGGAAATATCTGAGGAGCAAAGAAAAGCATCTCTTCTAGAACACTTCTGTCCGTTTTATTAACAAGAAGAATCTACCTAAAATCTAGTACTCCCAAGATAGAACTTCTAGAGATTATAATTAGAGCATCTGAGTGATGAGTGTTCCTCCCTCAAGACCAGCTGAAGTTTAAGTTTCCAGTGGACAGGTTTTTATACATTCCCAATTCCCCACCAGCATCTCATGTAGCACTGTGCCTTTGGAGGGCTTTGTTAAGCGAAAGAATACAAACTTACTATGTATTAGGGATGAAGATAAAAATTGGAAGAGAACTGAAATTCAGGGACACATTTTATCTTTACATGATGCTGTTATATGGCAGGCTACTTTTGTGCAAGGTTCAACAATCTTGTTCCATGACCGGCTCATGAATCCATGGAGCCAGGCAGGCCCAGAAGCAGTGTTCTGGTAGATAATATACTGAAATAAGCCCCAGTTATGGGTACCAGGGAGCACAGCCCTTGAACACCTCTGGAGGTACAGGATGTTCTGGAGTTAGGGCGACCCAAACTAAGGAGGTTCCTCAGATGCAAGACTTTCAGTGCTAAAACTGGGGAAGTCCTGGGAAAACTGGGATGTGTTGGTCACCCTATCTGGTCTGTAGCTACTCCACTTAGCACTGGGCATGCCTTACAGTGCTCATGGCAGGGGCCAAGTTAATACTGAGGTCATTGGAGAGACGTGAAGGTCCTTCACTGTGAACACACAGCACCACATCCAGGGAGGGCTTGAACCTGCTGACGCGGTGTGACAAAACCAGCAGAACAGCCAGGTGCTTTATGACATGGCTCGCTAATGCACCAGCCAAGTGGGCATCAAGACTCTGAGAATGGTGAAGAGATAGGAAACCAGATCTTTTTAGGGTTACGCCCCAGCTTGTCATCCCTATATGAGGGGCACCAGTTGTACTTGCCTTTGGTTCCAACATGTTGGGCATAGACACTCCTCGGTCCATTCTCATTGCAGGCATGTGGCCATCTGGAAGGGTCTGCAACAGAAAAGCTGGGTCAGGGAGGAGCACATGACAGCGTGAGGGGCTGAGGGGAGAACTCTGCGGGCTCCCAAACCTCCCTGTTTGGGTCTTAAACCTCATCACCACTTTATACATGTGTCATCTTCATCACCAAGGAATTTTCAAAATGAGATCCTTGCTGAATATGAGCAGGAATACTGCTATTCTATAATCAAGTTGGGGAAACAGCTTACCTTAATAGCTATTGACTAATCTCTGAATTTAGGCTCCATGCATGAAAGTATATGATACATCAAAAAAAAAAAAAAAGCCAAGTCTATGATTGTTATTTTATTTTAATCTTAGTTTTCTTTGCATTTTGTTTCCTTTTCTCATTCTCCATCATAATTTTACCAGGCTTAGGTTCTAGGGAAAAAGGAATAGCACCAGAGCAGCTCTTTCCTATTGGCCAGACAGAAGTTCCTTTTCATTCGGGACCATGCAAAGGAGGGGAGGACCTAAAATACTGAGTGGTTATAACTAAAAGAAAAAAAACTGCACATGGGTAGACCCTTAATGCCAGTCCACTTCCATCCCAGAGAGGACTCTCCAAGGCCAGAGAAGAGAGTCCTCTGACACCAAGCCTAATTCACGCCATGTCCCCAAGGCCTGCAGGGACAGCTTGACCCAGGCACCAGGCAGGCCTGCTCCTCATTGCTCAGCAACACACGTCTGGATTGAAAAATGGCTGTTCTGCTGTTGTGGCCAACTCAAGAAGGACAAAGTGTTCCATACCTGGTAGTCTGAAAAGGAAAGAAAAAGAAAATATCAGAATAGGAAGCCCTTAGAAAAACATGGAAACATTAATAGAGAGACTATATTCTATTGCAGTTCCCCAAACATTCCCCAGAGAACCACGTTCTGTCCCTGCTCCTGCTCTCTGCCCACACTGCCCATCTGCCTCCCTGAAGCCAGGAAATGCCTGCTTTGGTTTTAGTTATCAGTTAAAACACTCTTTTCTCTTGGAAGCTTTCCCTGACTCCCTCAAGGTGTTCCTTCCTTCGCTCTGCATCTCCCATCACAGCATTTATCACATGGAGCTTCTCTCTCACTCTCACGCAGCCATACGCATTTTAAGGGTAGGGGCCATGTCTTGCTTCTTGCTGTATCTCTAGGTATCTAATTGAATGCAGAGCACACAGCAGAACAATGATTCATTCTTACAAACTCGCTTCTCGTGGTCTCATTTCACCAGAGATCCTTTGACATTTTAATAAACGCTCTCTTAGATCACAGAGGAGGGATGTGGTCCTATGTTAGGATGTAATACGGCATGAACCCAGCCAATATACTCGTGACTGGACAGCTTCTCCTCAAACTCAGCCACAGTCAGTCAAGGCCCGGCCGCAGGAGCCTCACCTCGCACTCCCCCACTGACGTCCCCGTAGCTGTCGTACTGAGCAAAGTCTGTAGAAACAGGCTGAAAGGAGGAAAAACACATTATTAGAAAATCTACTCTACAGTGACTATTTTGGAGTCACATGAAAAGGGAGAAAGGATTTAAAAAATCCTAAGAATTCTCCCCAAGCTGAATTCCTGAACCCTCATTGTTTTTCTTTCCTATTTCCTCTTCTACTGCTAGGAAATCTTTGTCTTGTAGTACACCCAGTGCAACTGCTCAGCAGGCCCTTGGTAAGCAAGTATCTCTCCCTGATAAATAAAAATACATTTCTGCACATAGTTACACAATTACATTTGTTCTGTGCTTTGTGGGGAGGGCAGTTGCAACAAACTTTCTTATATCTTTTTACAGCAGAGATAATGGCTCAAATGATTACTTTTCTCCTGATTGTAAAAATATCTGTCACACATTTACTTAATCTAGTCTTTCCATAAGCTTGTACAAGCTATTCTTTTATCTAAAGTCAATTTCTCTTAATAGAAATATTATATTTTATCTATAACTCAAAGTGAATTTACCGGGAGATCAAGGAGATTACAATTTTCATTATGTTCCAACACGGAGATCACATTGTGAGACGTATTCAGACAATATGTCAGCACCTCAACCAGGATGGAAGGGGAAATAAATGCAGACACAATTCACTGCGAAATCTTACCCGGTGCAGCCCATTTCTTCCATAGCCTGGGAGGGATGAGGTTTTAGATGACAGAGCACGTGAAGCTGAATGAGTAAAAGGTGAAAAAGCAATTGTTAGGAAACTGGAAGTCCAATTCTTTAATGAAATTGGCAGTGTATCTTCTACCTTGCAGAACAAAAGATTTAGAAAAAATAATCCAAATAACATTGGGCTCAAATGTTCACAAAATGCTACCCTATTTAGGCGATGCAGGGAGTGGGTGGACAGTGATGTTACTAAGGAGGGGTGGGGAAGGAAGAAGTATTTGGCATGCTTTATCTCTGAATCCTCAATACAACCCTAATAACGCTGTTACTATTTCTATTTTACAGAAGAAAAATTAGGGCTAAGAGAAATTGAGTGTCTTGCCCAAGGTCGCTCAGCTTGTAAATAGCTGAGCAACGATTTAAACCCAGGGCTATTTGAATGCATGAGCCCATGCCCCAGCTGGCATGGCAGCAATGACTAACCTGGAAGCCAACCACGTAAGTTATCAAGATCGACTGGCCAACCACAGTTGGACTCCCGGGAGGCCCAGGATAGGGTACACTGCCCAGCAGCAACAGCCTGGCCACCTCATAAACCTCTGGGCTTTGGAGAGAGCAGCCCTGGGCTTGAATTCTGGCTCTGCAGCTCAACACGTCTGCATCTTTGGGCATGCTACTTCATCTTTTTATATCTTCATTTGTTTTTTTTTTGCTGAGGAAGACTGGCCCTGGGCTAACATCCGTGCCCATCTTCCTCCACTTTATATGGGACGCCACCACAGCATGGCCTGACAAGTGGTGCGTCGGTGCGCACCTGGGATCTGAACTGGCGAACCCTGGGCCACCGCAGCGGAGCGTGCACACTTAACCACTTGCGCCACCGGGCCAGCCTCTGTCTTCATTTCTTGACCCATGTAGGGGTACAGTGCTATATATTCTTATTGAACAGAACTGCAGAATTAGAAGGAACTCTAAAGATTAGTAAATCATCTAATCCAAGATCAATGCCAGTGAGCCATCTCTGAGAGGTAGCAGGACATTCCAGTTAAGAGGGTGGGCTCTGCATTCTAATACTGGGGCTCCTAAACCCTAGTTTTGCTAGTTATTAGCAATGTGACACTGGGTAAGTTACTTAAACTTCCTATCCTTGTCTTCTGATTTACAAATGGGGATGATGATGATACCATTTACTTCACTGGCATGTTGTGAAGATTAAGTGAAATATGTTTAGCAAAAGTGCTTGCATATAGTAAATACTAAACCCATTTTTAAAGGAACCCTCAAGAGAGAAAACCACGCACTAATTCAGAACATGGGAGAATAAATCTTGTGGGTTAAGAGAGAATTGGCTTATGACAAATATAAGCAGAAGAAAATATACTGATAGACTATTTCAGCCCAGTATATAAGTAATCTCCTTCGAAAGTATCAAAAACAGCACCGGTATAGTCCTCAGCTCTTGTATTGAATATATTAATGTAAAATCATAAGGCTTAGAAAATGTTCATGCTCTCTACAGTCAAAAAGCATTCTGTTGTCCATAAGGATTTCCTTTTTGCTGCTTCCCTCTGACATGAGTATTCTAGAAGGTAGACTTAGCACATGGGAACTCACCCCTCATGGTTCCAAGGGCTCCCCCATTTCCAGCAGGAAGGAAACACACATTTAAGGAAGAACCCTGGCATGCTTATAAATTAAGTTGACATGAAGTGGGTTTCCCATACTTCCTTTTCTGTAGAACACTCTATGGGTTCCACCAGAAATGGTCCTGCCTCTCCTGGAACAGTCAAGGCAGGCTCCTTGCAAGCAGGTGGCCGGCTCCCGGCTTGGGGAAGGTGGTAGGTTACTGCTCACCTGAGTTGATGGGAGAATCATAGCGACTGGCTGACAGAGATGACCTCTCCCGGCTCTCCTTCTCCATCTCCTCTTTCAGTATCAACTGCCCCAGGCCTGAGTTGAGCTATTCCCAAAGACAAGAAAAATAAGAGTAAAGTATGCAATTACTTTCAGAGAACTGCTGTTTCTTTTTAGGAGATCCTGCAAGAAGTTCCTGACTCTGGAGAGGCCTGGATGCATTTAGTCCCAGAGTCTGGTGTCCTCAAGAGGTAGGCTAAGTTTTGGACCTTGTACCCTTCTTAGCCTTTTCAAGGTCAAGGCTCCACTTTCCTAAGCAAGGCTCCACGTCAGAAGAATGTTTTCCCTCCTTGCCCTCCCTAAAAGTGCCAGCAGGTAACCTCAGCAGGCATGTGTGAGTGTGTGCACATTTTTGATAAGGGAAGGGAAGATTGGGGATAGTATTCTTTAAAAAGACATTAGACTGACTTGTTTAAAAAAAAAGGGAAAAAAAGTAATGCATGCTCACTGTATGTATTTTAGAAAATCCAGAAGGAAAGAAGAGTAACCCATAATTCACCACTCAGAGACAATCACCATACATTTTGATTTATATCCATCCAGTATTTTTTTTTTGTGAGGAAGATCGGCGCTGAGCTAACATCTGCCAATCCTCCTCTTTTTGCTGAGGAAGACTGGCCCTGTGCTAACATCCATGCCCATCTTCCTCCACTTTACATGGGACGTCGCCACAGCATGGGCTGACAAGCAGTGCGTCGGTGAGCGCCCGGGATCCGAACCGGCGAACCCTGGGCTGCTGCAGCGGAGCGCACGCACTTAACTGCTTGCGCCACCGGGCCAGCCTCCCATTCAATATTTTTCTATGTGCATATTATACAAAACCAGGATCATTCGATAAATGCAACTTTGTATCCTTTCTGCCATATAACTAGTATAATATGTATTTCTCTTACGATTACACACTTTTGAAAAATATCATTTGAAGGGATTCATCAGTCTCTTATTGGTAGGAGACTTTATAATTTCCTGGCTCCCTCTACCCCAGGCTATAATTGGTTATTTTTCTTTTGTCTTCTGGGATGCTGCAGGCCCATGCCATAAATGGGAGAGTATAATGAGGGCTTCTTGGTGGCAATCTACTTTATCCCTTCTCTCCTGGCCCAGATATACACACAAGGTCCTATGAGTCCTGAGGAAAGACTTGGAGAAATGCTCAATCCCAAGGGAATTCCTTCAGCAGAGCCTACACGAGGGAAGGCAGGTGTTACACCTCAGTGTACACCTTGGCTCTACCTGGCTCTTCAGCATGCTTTCAACACATGCCCTGCACACACATACCCGACACCGATTCTCATCCCCTTCTCGCAAAAGCCCAAATATTCCACATCCTTTTGATCTCTAGCCTCCAGGTCATCTCTTCCAGAACCCACTAAGTATTCTGCCTTATTGTAGTCACTAGATGCTCGTCTCATCCCACCTACGAGACTGCAAGCCCCTGAGGGCTGGGACCATCTCTTGCTCATCTTGGTGGCTCACCCATAGTAGTCATTCAAAAAATGAGAATCGAATGAAACTGAAGTGAAGATTGCAGCAAAGTAGTTTAAGGACAAACCTTCATTAATTGCTCTTCTTGAAGCTGCCGGCGTCTCAGAAGTTCCTCATCATCTTCCTCTCTGCCACTAGATCTGCGTCTCATGTCAGCTCCTAATTCCACAGCAAAGACAACTTCTCACATTAGCCCCACGGCAAGGGGATTTTAAGGGACTATTTCACCTGTGCTCAACTTGTCAGGCTGACAAAGTCAGCAGTGGTCTTGAACATTTCAGAACAAAACAAGGCAAAAAAGAGCCTACCGCCAATTCAACACTACTGGTTGGTTTCTTGAGACAACGGGCCTGTTTGACAAGCCAATTCAATGTGTGATCCAGTAAGGCATGAACTCTGGCCTCCTAACAACTGGTCTGCTCAGTTAGAACTGGGGTTTGCCATTGCACTTGGGTCTAAGTCATCCCATGGGCCACTGGTCAGAGCTCTCCATAGTAGATGGGAGGGGCAGCTACAGATATTATTTTGACGTCCCCAAGGTCAATTTTCAAATAGAAAGGAATTCAAATTCATTTACATACCATCAAATAGGTAAGACAGTCACTCTCTTGTGACAAGTTTTAAATTCTTGTATTTTTCTCTTTTCTGAATATTTAGACTTGTCATCACCCTGTCTTCTAACCTTAATAAATTCACTATAAGCATGCTTTTTATTTTTCTCTTAAGAGATGGGTCTCTAATGTTTCCTTTTTCTCAATCCTTTGAAAAATGTTCACTAGAGTTTTATAGTACAGGGTCAATAAAAAGTGTTAATACAGCCAAAAAGTTACTTATTTTGGTACAATATAGCAGATCATGTACCATTTTTAAGCTTCCTGGAAAAGGGGAGACGGGGAGTAGAAAGGAGGAATCTGTCTGAAAGAGTAGGAAATTCAGATAATTATTGTTTTTCCTCAATTGCGTGGATTAATCTGGCTGTGGGAGGTAACAGGAAAGCTTGCTAATCTAATCAAAATAAACTTTAATGGACCAGAAATTTTCTTCATTTTGGAATCCAAAACAGCTTTAAACTATTTAGTGATGACAGTTTCAACAACAAAATTTTAATTCTCCCTCTCCTCAAATGTTTAGCTGCTGTAATACTGCAATTGCTGTAATATTGTAACAAGCAATATGACTGAACTAGGAACCCCAAAGGCCCTAAGAACTGCCTAAAGGTACAGACTGGCAGAGAAAAGCTGGTGATTGATTCTTAGCTCCTAACATCATAAATGTCAATGTGAATTTTCTCTCTTTAATCTATACTAATAAAAACTAATAGACACAAGTTTATGAAAATTAGATAAATCTCAATATAATGTAGAGAATACTTGTGAATAATAAACTCAGAAGGTCGATTTCCTTTACCTATTTCTATACACATAAATTGCTTTAATATCCACTTATATTGCTTTTAAAAGTTATTCCAAAAATAACTTGACAAAAAATAGCATGAGGAAGAAAATTTGGAAAATTGAAGGCCTTTCAGGTTGTCAACAGAATGTGATAAGCTAGTCATATCTTTGTAAAGCTGACTCGCTAAATTTTCAGTATTAGCTCCTGAGTTTTCTAATATCACTTTTTAGGCCAAGTGATTTCACTATTGACAAAACAGTACAGACACAGACACAGTTCTAAAGCATAAATTTGTGGTTCAAAGCAAAGAATGAAACAGCTCAAATGTGACATTTTGGCACAGAATTCATGGAAATGACAGACGTAAAATCACCTAACTTTACATGAGTAACATTTCAGCACACCCACTACTTTCTAACAGCCCTTCTCAGTAATGCAGAACGTGGTCTCGAAAGAACAATGAAAGTGCTCCAGTGTTAGATTGGTTGTTAAGAGAATTGTAATTACAGAAATAGTCTAAAACAAATTTAACCGAAAGAAGTCAAGCTTCTGTGGACACCCGGTACGTTCACCCACTATACTGTAATTATATAGAACGATGTTCTTGCCAAGAGGCTTTGACTCAATTGTGTTCAAAAGACTTATTGATTTTGCAGTAATAACCTCGAGAGTCCATGCAAATCATTAGTTTTAGACCAGTTCTGCATCTCCGTGGGTGTGGTTAGAGCAAGGCTCTGGTGACTGGGTTTTTATAACTCTTAAGCATTCTGTACACACGTTAATACCACATTAGTGCTTTTCACTATTCTGCCTCTTAGTCATACTTTTCTTAAACATCTTTATAATAGGACACATTTTCTTGCATATTTTTAAGCATTTCGAGATCTCCTAGCCATTTGTCCATTTGGCTTAGCTGCAACAGTTGCATACCTACGGCGGCAAGTGAGGGGGGACCAGGCCAGTGGTCCGTCTCAATCTTTGGTGTCTCGCTGGGGTCTGGAGCCTGAGCTGCTGGAAACTTGGAAAACTTGATGATGTCTTCTGAAGACCTGCTCTGGGCTGCCAGGGCAGCTGCATCTAGGTGGGAATCAGGGGGAGCTTAGCTATCAGTCTGCAAGGCCGTGGTGCTACCACCCCACTTAGATCGTTTTTCTTGTTCTCTGGCAAAAGTTTCCACTCCAGAAAGCTCTGGTTATCACCATTATCAATTGCCCAGTCACTCAGTGGTGCCTAGTGACAACTCAACTCATTTTCCTTATGTTCCTTCAGAAGCAAAGTTTCATATCATGTCTGTTCTACGTCTGAAAATCCTTGTTCGAGAGCGGTGCTGTCCAAAACTAGCTACACGTGGCTATTTAAATTTAAATTAACAAAGTTAAATGCAACAAAACATGATGAAATTAAAATTCAGTTCCTCAGTTGCACTAGCCACATTTTAGGTGGTCACTAGCCACATGGGATTAGTGGCTACTGTATTGGACAGTACAGTTATAGAGCATTTCCATCATCATAGAAAGTTCCATTGGAAAATACTCTTCTAGAACGATTAGAAATTTGAATTAGTAATTTGAAATTAAAGAGCTAAGTTAAAAGCATGACACTATCATCTGAGGGCTGGCTGGCTTTGTGTCTTTGTGGTTCCTTCGCCACTAATACATTGGCCTAGTTCATTGTAATCCTTACGTATTACTTATGTGTCCTTGAGTCCTAGGAGGAACGGAAATGGGAAAATCCACTTTCAGCTTGCAGGAATTTAGCATTATGACTTATGTACGCCCTACCCGCTCACAGTTTTGTTCAAGGGTCTGCACATATGAGTGAGTCATCCAACTTTAAAACAACAAAAGCCAGACTAGCAGCAGCATTAGTTCGCAGAGTTCTCAATGGCTCTGCTTAGAGGAGGAGGCATTGGCTTAGAGCACCAAATCTAATCAAAACAAAACAAGCCAGGTTAAATGGTCAGTCCCCGACTCTGGCTAATTTAGCAAACTGGCCTGGGATGTTACTCAACATTTCAAAATATATTTATAATGCTTTAAATATAACTTTCCCCCTCCCTGGCCTCACATATTTTAAAATCTAGAAATAACTTTTTGAATTTTCAGCTCCAAGTCCCTATTCTTTTCATAACCCTCTGGGTCTCAATTTGCTTAAGTGACTTGACAAGGTCACCCTACATAATAACAAGGAGTAAAGTGTTGGCCAGGCATGGAACAGTGTTTCTCTGAATCTCTAAGCTCATGAGAAAAAAGAAATGCAGCTTGGAAAACACTGCATACTGTTATCCTCTTCTTAAAGAAGGACAAAATGTGTTAGCATATTAAAGACTGAGAAGTTCTGCATAACAACAACAAAAAATGTTGACTTTCTTTAAATCTAGCATTTTCCAAATGCACCAGGGCACAGACACCAGTTTTTGGTACATCTATATCTATAACTAGCACACAGCACCTCACGTTTGGGAGGTGCCGCTGTGGTTGTATTACTCTTTTTCTTTTTCCTTTTTTTTTTTTTGGTCAGGAAGTTTGGCCCTGAGCTAATATCTGTTGCCAATCTTCCATCTTTTTACCTGAGGGAGATTGTCCCTGAGCTAACATCTGTGCCAATCTTCCTCTATTTTGTATGTGGGACACCACCACAGTCTGGCTTGAGGAGCGGTGTGTAGGTCCACGCTGGGGATCTGAACCTGAGAACCCCAGGCTGCTGCCAAAGTGGAGCGCAGGAACTTAACCACTACACCACCAGGCTGGCCCCTGGTTGTACTACTCTTATTAACCCCAACAGTCTGAAGGTAGAGTGAAGTTAAAGTAACTTTCACAAAGCCAATTAATCCCTTCCAAATAAATAATCTAACATTATCTAATTTCTTTATATCTCAATTATTTGATTATTTTTGCTTAGAGAGGCACAGCCTAGAGATTTTAGTATTAAAAAATAAGTCTGTAAATTGATAAATCAAACTGTGGAAATCTTATTCTTAAATTTAAAAAAAATGCATGACTTCAAACAGTACTTACGCATTAGAATGGGTGGAGTCAGTAAACATTCACATGTTAATGAGTGGGTGAGAAGACATTAAACCATAAAAAAACAAACAAAAACAATGTTAAGAAACTTAAAAAGCAAGCACAGGGTGTAAAATCTTTAAAAAAACAAATGAGGAAAATAAAATCATAGTTCTAGAACCATTATAATACATTCTCTTTTTTCCCCTAGAATATTGGCCAAAAATTTTTCCTTGTGCATTTTCACCTTTATTTGCTTTTCACGTCATCCTAATCCTCCAGGACTCATTAATGTCAACTGGATTCTAAAGGTAGCCTTCAAATTTCCAGGCACAAATTGTATATAATTTTCTGAAATCACCTAAAGACTAATCTTGGTTTTTTAATCCATTCAGAGATTTACGGCAGCTAAATCTATCAAGACCTAATAATGCTGGAGGAAAGTGTAATTTACATATAGTAATGTGATTTCCTGGCTTTAAAAATTCTTCATTCCCAGAAAAGGAAAACATAATTATAAATCCACATCAGTGAGTCTTCCTTTGCAGGAATTTCAGAGACAAGCTGGCTTAATTCACTGGTTTTTGCAGATGCGAAAACTGAGGGACAGAGAGATGGGGTCCATGACATCACAGAGCCATTTAGGTGAAGAGCTGGGACCAGGGCTAGGACTTCTGTCTCAGGGTGTGTCCTGTCCACTCAACCGCAGGGCATAGACATCTGCACGCCTCATAAGAAACGGGGGGAACCGGACAGCCAAGTTGATGGAGGCTTAGTCAAATTAATATTTCTAGGTGGCTGGCTTTCGCTAGCTTTAATTAATTGCAAGCTCACTGAAATTATCATAGAGGTTGGCTAAATTATTTGATGGCAAAAAAAAAAAGTCTTGTTAGGATGTTTGTGAATCACCGTGCGGCCAGCACTTCCCCTTCTCTATTGATGGATAATACACGGTTTGATGGGCTCAGAAATGGGATAGGAGCTTCCTAACCAAGCTAAGTGTTCTCCATCTAGGCAAGCCAATTTTACAATATCTGCCTCTTAGAAGACCATAAAGGCATATTACGCTGTGCACCCCAGTTTAACTCTCAAAAGAAGCAGCAGATAAGCCTTTCAGAGGACAGCAAAGAGAAGTTCAGCTGACCCTGCTACTTAAAAGCTACTCGGAGGAAAGCGGGTTTTACCATGCTGTTTGTAGATGGGTGGTTTTCGGTAAATGTTGATCCCTTGATCTGTGGAAATGAAAAGCAAAGATGTGTGATTATGGGAACCGGTTCAGCGATGGAAAAAACAGATCAATCAAGAGGCAAACAAAACTGAAGACTATTGAACAAAAATAACCCAGGAGGTTAACTTTTGTATTACAAAGATTGAGGTTACTGGAAAAAGAGATTACAGCAATGAGCAAATTACTATAGACAAGTGATATGGAATCCTTTGTAATACATCTGAGGATATATAGAGATGTCATTAATTCATGAGCCATTTATTTCAAATACATAGTTCACTAAAAGTGGGATTAAAACAGGAAGAAATGCAAGCAGTGGAGATATTCCAATGGTGAGAAAGACATAACGAGTTTGGGGAAAATCCCCAAATTGCTACTGTCTAGAAATTGAGCTCCCAGTAGATACCAGTGGCTCAATTTACTTTTCAACTAATGAGTGGAACAGTGGAAAGCAATGTAGTAAAATAAAGAGTATATATGTTTTTAAACATAGAAACACTTTTTATGCTCAAGGCTAGCGCCATGTGCTGACAGGATGTTCAACAAAATCTTAACTTGTATAGGCCAAATTAAAAAAAAAGAAAGAAACAAAGAAAAAGAAAAGAGATGCTAAATATTCTTCATATATTTATCCAGGACCCCATTTGATTATGCTACCATTTCACTTTGACTGCAAATACTCAGGAAATTTCAAAAGGTTTCTTTCTCCAGAATCTTGGGCATTGTATCTTAGTGGGGCATTCTTCATGAGAAAAAGTCTCAAATGTAGAACGTTTATTTTCAGGTTCAATGAAACTTTTTTAAAGAGGCAGTCCTATCTTAGTGGTATGAATCTCATTGAACTTTCCTCTGTTTTATTAGGTAACTTTAGAATACAAAAGAAAAAACGATTAGAGATTCCAAATATGTACACTAACACTAATATAATGGGTAATTTATTAAACCACTTTCACAGCTAAAGGAAGCAAAACAACGTACAGTCACACGTCGCGTAACGACATTTTGGTCAACGACGGACTGCATATATGACAGTGGTCCCATAAGATTAGTACCATATAGCCTAAGTGGGTGGTAGGCTGTACCATCTAGGTCTGTGTAAGTACACTCTATGATGTTTGCACAATGATGAAATCCCCTAACGATGCATTTCTCATGATGTGACCCTGTAGTTAAGCGACGCATGACTGTACTTCTAATGGAAAAATAATATCGTGACTTCTGATGGCCAATCTTGCCTTTACAAATTGAGCTGACCCTAAACATTAAGATATTGACGGGTTCTGATTTTTCTAGTTCCTGATGGCAAATTACTTCTTGTACTGTGACAGCAAATGCTTGTGACTACACAGCGAAGCTTGCAGCACCAAGCCTAAATTGCAAGATATCTTTGTGGGCTGTGGAGGTGGTTCGTTTGTTATACGCTGCAGAAGGGACCACTCAAGGGATCCAATTCCACACCTCTCTGAAAAGACAAGTCCATGGAAAGAATCTCCATATTGGAGAGAAACAGGAAAAGTACTCTCAGTGACGCTGTGGTTCAATATTTAGGATGAGGAGATAACTAGATCGCCACTGGGATAATTGGTCAATGACACCAAACCACAGAGTAATATCTTAGAAGGCACTAATATAAAAGACAAATTAAAACAAAACAAAACAAAATAACTCAACCCTCATTCCTTTATCCTTTGCCTCCCACCTCCCTTCAAAACATTTTGGGAAAACTTAAACCTTCAATACAATTCTGGCATTTCACACACTTTTGAAAAGGCCCTCTAGATCAGATCCTGCAATTTAGGGTTTGTTGACTGGGTGCATCCCAATTAAAAGAGCATGAGAAATGGAGACGAGACAGAGGTAACAAGGCTACATTCTACACTGTGACAGGACACCAAGACATAGACCGTGTCAGCTCCTACCTGGAACATGGAAATGTTTAGGGGCCTGAGCGTAAGTTGGAGTTAGAGGGCGGCTGTCTGGCCGGTAAGGGAGAGGGGAGTTCCTGCCGCTGGACGGCTCATTGCCTCCAATGAGAAGAATGGAGAAAACAAAATGAGAGAAGGGAGAGCAATAAAGAAAACAAAGCAAGCATAATAAAAATTCAAAACAACAAACTGGAAGGAGGTACATCAAAAAGGAGAAACAAAAGAAACAAAATCTATCAACTTGGCTTGCAAAGGTGATATAAGGTTTGGTTTTCCACAAGAGAGATTTGAGGTCAAGTGGAACCAGGTTAAAAGCAGCTAGCAGTAGGATGCGTCATTCCAATGGCATGCGGTTGAAGGCTGTGAGCCAGCAGCAAACTGGTTAGAGGGAAAGTCTATTAAGAGGAATGGAAAGTCACTTGCTAATGGTTCAGGATCAGTCATCAGATGGTTAAACCCCAAGCAGGTAAAGGGGTGGAAGATGCAAACCCCAATACAATCACTTCCAGGCATGATGGCAGAGGCCAGCAATTGGAATATATTTCTCTGAATGGAAGGCTAAGTCTGGGAACCCGTGTGGTCACCCAGACCTTCCCCTTTGCATCACCAAGTCCTTCATTGCAGCATATGTTTCCGTTTCCTCACTTTGAAATACACACCATAGAGTCAGACCCCTTTCTCCAGGTCCTTTGGGACCACTTATACCTCTCTCCACCCTTCTCTTCAAAGGCTCCACTGAGGCTCCACCCAGTCTAACAATTGCATCAATGAAATATTTACCGAATACCTAGTATGGCTGGGCACTGAGCTATGACTGAGGATAAGCAGATAAATGAGATATAGTCTCTGCCCTCAAGGGACTCAGAGTCTACCTAAGGAGACAGTCTGAAGAGACTTAATTATAATACCATGTAATTGCTTACTCAGAGGTATATGAAAAATTCTGACACTCAGATGAAGGTGCCATCGATTCTTCAGGAAAGCTACAGAAAGGTGTTAGAATTGAGCTGGGCATTGATGAGTAAGCTCACCAGGTGGGTGGTGGGCAGAGGGGTGGGAGGGACCAGATTCCAGAAGGCTGGAACATCACGAGGAATGAAGGGCCATGGTGTGTGACAGCAACAGGACTGGCCACTGTGGCTGGACACCATAGTTTTCTTGGAGGAGAGAATGGGGAAGAGGATGGACAGCATTGCTGGGGCTTGGCTGCAAAAGCCTTGCGTGCCACCATAGCCACCATCACTCCCTTCTGACCAGGAGAATGGCAGGGATGAACTGAGGCTTGAGCAAAATAGCAAGGACATCAGCTATTGCCCTAAATTGTCCTCCTACCCCATGTCTGAGCAAATATCTGTCCTACAAATATACCAGAAGATGCAGGACTATCAAAAGTTAATGAACTAGTAGTGTAATTACTTTTATGACTGAGTTGTAAGAGTTCTTTGCACACTCTGGATACAAGTCCCTTATCAGACATATGATTTGCAAATATTTTCTCCCATTCTATGGGTTGTCTTTTACTTTCTCGACAGTATCCTTTGAAGCACAAAAGTTTTTTGTTTTTTTTTGCTAGGAAAGATTCGTCCTGAGCTAACATCTGTTGCCAATCTTCCTCTCTCTTTTTTTTTCCCTCTCCCCAAAGCCCCAGCACATAGTCCTATATTCTAGTTGTAAGTCTTTCTAGCTCTTCTCTGTGAGCCGCCACCACAGCATGCCTACTGACAGACGAATGGCGTGGTTCTGCACTGGAGGACTGAACCTGGGCTGCCGAAGCAGATAGTGCCAAACTTTAACCACTAGGCCATCAAGGCTGGCTCTGCACAAGTTTTTAATTTTGATAAAGTCTAATTTATAAATTAATGCTAACAATTTTCAATAAATCATAGATCTTCAGAAAATAGAGCCTGAGCCAACTTATATTTTTTACTTTGTCTTTAATTATTTTTTTAAATTGAGATATAATTGACACATAACATTGTACTAGTTTTAGGTGTACAAGAGCCAATTTCTTCAAGTCAAACTGTCCTAAGTCTGGCCAGCAAAGTATGAAAGATGTCAATTGCTGGAGTTTTAAAATAACATGTTTAATAGAGTTTTAATTTCTCAATCTGTATATTTCTAGGTAACTAGAGCATCGATCTGTACCAAATGAGCAGTAAGATATTCTGAATATGAGATCTGAACTTGTTACTGTCTCAAATTTAGATTCCAGGTTTTTGGTTATTGTGTTCTGAAAATTTTGTCTTTTTTTCTCAAAAGTCAGTTTAGCATCTAACTCCCAATATATTATAATACAGACTTTACGACTTAAGTCAGATTATTAGCTTCTAAAAATTATGAAACTTCATCCAAAACTGTTGATCTATTAAAAGGCTAATTTTAAAAAAATGTTATCTCATTTACTATCACTCTCCTAAAGAGAAATAACCTGCTCATGTCTGAAAAAATGTGTATAGAAAGCACAGGTCAAGCACGGGAAGGAAGGATATGGTGTATGTTTAGAAGCAAATTCTGTTTTCAGCCTACAGCTGAATTAGAACTAGGTCTCATTCACCTTTGTGTGCTCAGCATAGTGCCCGGCCAACAGTAAGTGCCTCATAAATGTCTGTGAATGAATGATTGAAGTAGGCCAACTAATTAATTCTCCAGCCATTAATGGCCTAATTTAGTAAGCACCACTGGAGGATTAACCATCATCTTTCTCAGATCTCTTAATTCAATGCAGGCAGGTGCTAGTATACAGCAAGGGGATCACTCCTTTTATAACTTTCCCATTAGAGTTCATCCTCAACAACCCAATTTAATTGCATCACTTCAGAAAAATTCTTTACTTCTACAAACATTAGAAACTATTCACAAGGTAATCCATAATTGGAAAACTATTCTTGTGTGCTATTCTCAAAGAAGGTCTAGAGAGGCTCAACTTTCCTGCTTTATCTGAGGTTGTCTTTTGAAGACTCTTCCTGTGTATCCTGAGCACTGGCTGTTCCTTCTGAACCACACTGCTCCCTGCCCTTCAACCTTCACCTCTAACCTTCCTGCACTTGTAGAATGTCAGATACTTCAGGGAAATGTTCTCGCAGGTTTTGGTTTTAACACCAATCACATAAAATGCCATTAAATCTGTTTTGCTAATTATTAGCCAGTGTAATGCACACATAAAAATATCTGCATATACGGGACGCAAAGGTTGAAGGTTATTAGAATTGGCACTTGCCCAAATATAAAAATTTTTCTGTCTTTATGCTGGCAAGTGGCAGTAGAAGCCGACCACTTCTCAGATATGGCTGATGACTCTCCAAGGCTATGGAGTGGCTTGCGAATTCCCAGTGGGCAAATTCTGGCTCAGTGCTGTCTCCACTTGGGTGTAGTTCTTTATTTGGCTGCATGTTTCCAGCTACCATTGACCTTTCTAGTTGCTGGGAAAATACTAGTATGTTCAGGTCTTTGTAAGTAGATTTAACTCTGTAATCACTTAAAACTTTTCACAAAACATTTTAAAATGCTAGGTAAAGAGAGACTCACCTAAGGGCTCTGCGTGATACGACTGCCACACGTTACAACGGCTCATTGGGGAATGAGGTCTTGGGACATATACTGTTCCTAGGTATTACGTTCTTAGCCCTTGAAATACCAAAGGCATTAAAAATTCTGGCACTTTTAAAAGAAAAAGAGAAATTCTCAAGATGAAGCCTCTATTCCTTTTCTAACTTAAACATCCTATCTTTAAATGATAAAACTTTCAACTCTGATGAGGGTCCCAAAAGGTTACTTTTGTGTTAGCTCATTACTTAGGCAAACTAACGTATGAGGCATCAGAGGAAATATTATATGTGGAAAGTATTATTATCATCATCATCATCTATCAGCCTGGAGTTAAGACATTATTTAAAAATAATATAACAGTGTATATATCATATAATATTTTTTTTTTTAAAGATTTTATTTATTTATTTGTTCCCCCCAAAGCCCCAGTAGATAGTTGTATGTCATAGCTGCACATTCTTCTAGTTGCTGTATGTGGGACGCGGCCTCAGCGTGGCCGGAGAAGCGGTGTGTCGGTGCGCGCCCGGAATCCGAACCCGAGCCGCCAGCAGCAGAGCGCACGCACTTAACCACTAAGCCATGGGGCCGGCCCTATCATATAATATTGTATATGTCACATTCATAGCCATTTTGTTGTTCTAAATAAGTCCTTATGTTCACTTTAGTTATCTTAGCTATTGTGATGAGAAGCTACCTATATATATGTTTCTATATATTTCTCGGCCTTCATTTTTAGTTCCCTTATGTCACCCTAATAAGCCAATTTTGCAGTCCTCGGGAAATCATTCACTTGCAGGATTCTCACTGTACTTGAATTCACTGTCATTCTTCTTTCCGGCACCCTGAGAGCCTAGGTGAGCAACTCTAAGACGAGGAAACCGAAAGGGCTGTGCATGTGTCTGCTGCGGGCACCTGCTGGAGCACTGCTCAGCTTTCCGGACTCTGCTTATTTTCAAAAAAATAAATGAATATTTTGAGGGGACCTTAGAATTGGGAGCATCTAGAATTTCATGACCGAGTTTCAAGATTGCTGGTTCTTGCTTAAAACTTCAGTAACAGTTACTGTTTCCTTCAGCAAGTGTCAAGTACATATTTGCATCATAGCAACTCCTATCTATGGCAAAACAGGGAAGATTCCTTTCAAAGAGACTTAGTACATGTAGCCCATCTGTTCACAAATCTGATTTATACTTCATGGACACAGAAAGCAATGTCTAACGGTATTTCAAAGGGGAGGGAAGAGAAACTCAGCAAACATGGCACAAACAAAGCACAAAATGAAGTGAAAGTAGTTTTTCCAAATCTCTAGGCATGCACCTGTTCAAACGGCCTGACAATGGTATACCAATATAGAATGGGAGAGCAGAAATAAAAACGCACCCCAAAATAAGAGGGACATTACAGAAAAGTGATGGAGGAAGCCAGTGGAATAGAGAGACAGCCTGTGATGTGCGTCTCAGCTTTACACCCATGCGGGCATCCTCAGCTCGATGGACCCTGGGGGCCTGGGCCACATGCATCCGAAATAAGGACCAGGAAGTGAACTGGGCAATAGGAGGCTGGGCTTCTGGCTGCCAGAGTGCTAGGGGTCCCCTGCTTCTAGCTGCACGCTCCTGAGATGGACAGCCTACCCTGGGGTCTTCAAGCTCCCCAGCTTACATTTGTTTTAAAAATAACTTCCCCGAGATCACAAGACAAGCTCCCAGATAAAAAGTAAATGTTCACATGAAGGGCCACAGAAAACCCTGGGAGACTTTGCCCCATTTTAAGGATATCTTAGATGTGTTTCTGAAACGGCCGTAAGTTCCCTCTGTGCTGAAATTTCAAATGCTGGAGAGGCCTTCCATGTGAATGGACATGCGTTTTTTAAAATAACTACGAAGTAATTCCTTAGAGAATAATATTTAGCCCTTCAACTATATTAGGCTTTTACAGCAATATCTTTAATATACAAATTCTCCACGATTTATTTTGTAGTTTAGCAAAAAGTTCATCTGATTTTAAAACTGAGCATATACTGTTATGCACCTTATATCTTACATCTGAAGTATATAAATTATTTAATATGAACAAACAATAGGCATATGTCTGATAAAAAGAAAATGAGAAAGAGACTACTAGATGTCTTTTAAATGTAAGCTCGGGGTCACGCTAACTCCTCTTGGACTAACGCTTTTAATAATTTAAACCCCTAATATTTGGCTGTGTCGAAAACTTCAAATTCAGACTAAAACCAAAAAAGAATGTATATCTACATTCTTAAGAAAGCACTATTTAGGCACATAGAGGTACTGTAATTTTTATAACTATTTGGTATTTCTATTGAAAAGTAAAAATTTGTTAATTTCGTAATTTAAATGTCTGCAAGTAGCTATTTGTCTTAGCCCCAATAAGAATGCAGTTTTCTAGGTAAAAAGAGATGGGACGTAAAAGTTTGCTTTAAAAATTATACTTCATGTATATTTATACTGAAACACACACACCTAACAGGAATGAGGGATGAGAAAGCCTGAGGTCTAGTTCAGATGCTGCCACTGCCTAGCTGCGAGCCCTTGGCCGGGTCACTTAACCACGGCCTCAGCTCTTCATATCCCCCTGGGCGTATTTCACAGGATGCTGTGAATGGGGATGGGGTGGGGGTGGGGGGGCATCACAGACAGATGTAACTGAGTGCTTACTACACACCAGGGCACTTTACTTCCCACACCACTAATGACCTAGGAGAGGTTTTATAAACGAGGTAAGGTAAGTGAGTAAGTGACACTCAAAGGTTAAGTCAACAATGCAAGGTCCCATAGCTAGCAAGTGACAGAGATAATATTCAAACCCAGGACTCCAGTGTCCATATGGGTGTTCATCTCTCCAGGAGGCTGCTCATAGACACAAGCTATTGTGAGTTTTGATATTTTGTGATGTGTTATTTGTACAAACTTCGTATAACTTGACAGGGCACATGACATTTCTTCCTACAAAAAGTATCTCTTCTGAATGATGAAACATGTAATAACCAAACAAGGCAGTTTACATTTTAATGAATTAAAAAATGTATTTTCTCTTGCATATTAGAAATAAACAAACAAAAAAATCTTAATTTGGCCAAGGGCTTCTATATTAAAGTCTCTTTAAAATACATCTCTGAAGTTTTTTCAATAATTTCTGATGGTTTTATAAACATTCTCTAAAGCATCCTCTTGACATCTAGGTAACAAAAGTTTTTTTCCCCCAAAATACTAATTAGCAGTAATAATTTTAAATAATCAGTCAAGAATTTTAGAAAATGCTGCACCTACTGAAAAATACTGATTTCTTTGCTAACAGCAAATGTTGTGTGCCTTCAATAAGCATGTCAGCAATATTATTTTTACAGCATAGAAAATGCTAAAATAGCACACATAAAATAACTGCATACTGATGAGGACAATACATCTATATTTTAGATTTAGACTCAGTTACTCAAAAATCCAAGTGAGCAAAAAGCTTGGGTAGATGGAAATGAAGGTTCAGTCAAATAGAACAATGTAAAAGCTACTCGATAGAAGCGTTAGTGATGTGAGCACTTGGAACTCAGTGTTAGAATCCTTTAGGTCTGTTTTAAGACCCATGACAACGTGTGTGTTTGCCTGTTACTCCCTCCTTCAGCTATTTTCATTAATCAATTCGGTTCAAATCAAGACTATGGAAAAAGTTAGCATCCTTCTGGGAGCTCATACTTATTTTACACTATGGCCCCTTCATGAGCCCTTCGGGGCTCTTGGCTCTCCCAACACATGGAGGGAACAGGAGCCCCGATCGAGAACTGCTATAGAAGCACAACGGAAAATGAGGAAAACAATGCGAATGCCATAAAGGGAATGGACAGAAATGTGGGGCAGGAACAGAAAACAGAAGGCAAAGCCCCTCTTCTCCATCACACAGAAATCAGGACAAGTCAAAAGAAGATTCCTTTAAGAGTTGGCTCAAGAAGAGAAATATACGTTATATTGCCATTGATCTTTTTATACTATCCAAATGTTTTAATATTGTGAAGTGGTTAAGTGGCTTATCACCATTAAGACAACTTTCGGGTATTTGTGTTCTGCTGAGCCATATCACATATCAAAACCAGGAAAATATCACAACTATATATTATATTTTGCTTTCCACACAGAGAAAAACAAAATAATAATATATATTTTTCTAAGCAGTAGATAATAAATCTTATGATCTTAAACATACTTCCTGTTTCTTCATCTAGAGCCCTTAGAAATGACATATTTCTCTTAACGAGAGATGCTATGCCAGTGCTAAGACGCTGTTGGGTGTAGTCATGACACACGCAGGCATGCTGAGAGGTCGAAAGCTTGGAGCTAACTCTTGGAGATGCACCTTATTAGCCTTCCCAGGGTGCTAATAAATCTCCACTATGCAGGGTGCTGCCTGGAGAAGCCTGCCTCTTACCTTTGATATGGGGAATGAAGTGGTGTCGGAAGGGGGAGTTGGGGCGGGAGTCGCTGTGGGTGGAGCTGAGGCTGCTGGTGCGCAGGTGGGACAAGCTCTGCACACCAGGAGACAGCAGCTCTGTGCGGCAAGGAGTCAGGGGCAGGGCAAGGCGGAGACAGAAAAGAAGAACAGAAATTAACACAGAAGCAGGGACAACGGCATCGTTCCGAGGAAAAAAAATAAAGAACGTTAACCAGGAGTCTGAAAAAGGAGGAAGGAAGAAGGGTTAAGAATGCACCTGCTAAGGGTTAGGCAAAGTGGGGAGGATTCGCAAATAGGTTCAGGTTGGTACAGAGTCACCCTCTGAGAATAAATGGCTTCAGTGAGAAGGAATGGCCACCAGGACATTCTTTGTCAGGACGATGCCAGCTACTGTTGAGCCAGTATTGGGCACACCATTTAGACTCAAAAAGAGCGGTTTTAGAAAAGCACCTGATAAAACAGAACCTTCTGCAACACATGTAAAACAAAAAAAGACAATCATTTCAAGAACCTTGAAAAGAAGCACTTATATGCAAGGGTCAGATTCTTTTGTTTAAGCTGCAAATTTCTCCCACGGGAAGTTTAATTTTATTTTGCCTACAGAGAAGGAAAACCTGTTTGTGTTCCCTGACTGGCAAAGAGCTCTTATGACCCTGAGAATCGTGTAGCGGCAGCACTGGGGAACTGGAAACTTGGTTATCTCGGAAGAAGAATTGACCATTAAAACTAAACCCAGACCCGAGGGATTTGCATCACGTCTGGCATCTAGAACTCACGGAGGAGATAATTTGAGGTTTTCTACACTGACCACAACTATGCTATCAAAACCCCATCAGCTTCACTTTAGAAGAGCAGACCTTGAAAAAATAATTGTAAATCTTAATAATTGGCATCACACATATCTGTAATACATTGTGAAGGGAGAGGAGGAGGGTCGCTTGGAATGGGGAATGTTCTAAAGGCTATGGGCATCAGAACTGTGACTGGAGCAGAAAAACTTTCCAGAGCTTAATAAGGGCACGACCTTCTAGGGAAACACGTCCCTGACTGACCACTCTCTGCCTATGCAGGGCTCTCGGGAACAATGATTTCCCTGCAATCCCACGTCACTCTGACAAGGTCATGGCTGGGGTCTCAGCGACCTTGGCATATGCCCATATGTCGGGGTGGCAGCATAAAGGATTTCTTGTCACCCAGATAGACAAGGGCTTAACTCCAGACCCAGGTCCAGGGCATGAATAAAATGAATATAGCTGTACATGAGAAAAGAAAGGAATTCATTTCCTGAAAATTCTCCTTTAACGTAACTCAACAAATACTGAGTAAATATTTATGAGCCTAGAAAAAATTACACATGATTGAAGGATCAAATAGTAAAAATTAAATCCTCTGCAAGCATTAAATCTATGGCTTTCAAGAGAAGATTGCAGCCTTTTTACATTCTGTTCATTTCCTTTGGTTTCATTTTATAAAATAAGTTAGCATACGAATGGGTTTGCTCTCATCAGCTTGTGCAGAAGCAAGAAGCTTAAAAGGAAGTTGTCATAGACGTACATCATCACCAGCAAGTTTGTTTAGAAGGCTAAGGTCTTCCTTTGTGAATCTATTTCTCAGGGATGCCTGGATCTGTGCTGGGATCTCCATTCTTTTCCTACTCCACATATGAGACACCTGCTAATAGTAACAGGGACTAACTTCTGCACAAAAGTCAACTGAAGTCCACAATTATCTGATATTCTCTATGGCAATACATCTTTAATGTTTTTATGTTTTCCAAGTCTGATTCAAAATCTTAGGTTTGGAAGGGATCTTAAAAGTTATCAAATACAACCCTGAGGTTGTATACAATACTTCCTTCTAGAAGGTGCTTAACCAAGCACGCTTAGTAACACCATGTGCCTGGATAGGGAAGATATAATAAACTCATCAGTAAATGGCTAATACTGGATTTCAGATGATGCTGGTATGCCTAAAAAGCACATAAAAATTTCTTTTTTGGAGATCTTCATTTTAAGTCTCAAAGTGACGAGATTTTCTTCAAGTCTAAAAAAAAAAACTCCCTAGCTGCTAGTTGTTCGCTGTCAAAATGTAATTATTTAATAAATCATAATGAACATATCTATAAAATGACTCTTGTTTCAGGGAAAGATATAAAATATAGTTAGATACGAGTTTTCTTTTTTTTCTAGGAGGGGGGTAGATATATTCGGTAGCCAGATTTTTTAATACACTATCAGTGGGGAAAAAAAAAAATCACAGAGAAACACAGATTAGTATATAGAGTGAACCCTGGGAACAGCTGCCCTTACCAGGTCTGTGAAAATGCTGGGGAGAGCGGGACGTGGTTGGAGTATAGCTATGGCGGCTGTACACAGGGGAGCTGATGGAGCCCTGGCTGGTGGAGCGGTGGATCATCCGATCCCGAACATCCTGGTACCCCTGGAGACAAAGCACGAGAAAGCGTGAGCACACAATGTACATTCAGGTTATCATCAGGTTCAAGTGAAATCAAGTTCCACCAAAGTTCCCAGAACTATCATGCCCACCTGTCATGTATATCTTTTAGGGCCATATTCCTTAAATACGTATGTAAAGGAACATTCCATGGTTAATGCATTTTGTTCAAAACCCAAGTTGCGTTTACCAAAATTTTAAGATGTAAAAATTGTAAACTCTAATGTTGACAGAGCTCTGGGAAAAGAGGGAATAACTCCAATGACCACTTTTATATTGTGCTTTTCAGTTTTACAGAGTGTATTCACATCCGTTGTTTCATAAGATTTGCATAATAATGAAGGAAGAACACATGTTATTACCTCCCTTCTCCACTAATGCAGAATGTTTCAGAAGGTTCCGAACAGATAAGAGATTTGTGTGTGTGTAGCTCGTACAGGCAGAGACTGCTTCAGAACCAGCCTCCCCACTCTAATCTTACCCCTTGTGCCAACCACCAACCCATACTGTCTATAACATCGATCTGGTGACATTTTAAGTTGATTTTCTTGGAGAATAAGCTAGTGGTGGCCTCAGACTCAATAATTCTACTCCCTACTTTGGGAAACATATTTCAAAGAAATAATAAAACATGATCTTTAAACAGAAAAGTTTACTCAAAGATATTTATACTACCACCATTTATAAAGACAAAACTTTGTATTACATGCTCAACAAATTGGGGAATAACTAAGTAAATTATGGCATATCAATTCAATGGAATATAATAGTATCACTAACATGTCACCTATGTCCAAATCTAGAAAAGAATATATTAGGTATTAAGTACAAAAAAATCATACACACACAAATACAATATAATATCATTAAAAGAAATAGAAGAGTACAAGGAATGTTTTACATTTTAGGAATCTGTTGTCCTATGAAGTTTCTACTAGTGTAATAAAAACGAAAGTTGGAAAGAATGCATTAAAAATAACTAAATTAAAACCTCAGTAATCATAGCTACGTGAAATTTGAGAGCAAATGGAAAAGAAACTTTGGTTTGATGCTAGTTGGCTATAAGAATAAATTAAATAAAAACAACAGGGGGCTGGCCCCATGGTGTGGCGGTTAGGTGCACAGGTTCTGCTGCTGGTGGCCCCGGTTCGGATCCCAGGCGCGCACCGACACACCTCGTGTCAGGCCATGCTGTAGCGGCGTCCCACATAAAGTGGAGGAAGATGGGCACTGATGTTAGCCCAGGGCCAGTCTTCCTCAGCAAAAAAAAACAGGAGGATTGGCAGATGTTAGCTCAGGGCTGATCTTCCTCACAAACAACAACAACAAAACAAAAAGTCTCCATATAATGTGCTTCAACTTTGGAACTGGTCAATAACAGGATTTAATTCTTCACAACTTCAGTTGTAAATTATCAGAATACTAATAGAAATTAATTATTCATAGCACTCAGCTATGGAGTTGTTACTATCTCAAATTATAGCAATTATGTAAGATCAGTCCAGTTTTATGTCAAATATCCAGAGAGTGAGTTGACTTTAAGACAAGACTCTTGATTTTATTTTATATTTTTATTATTATTTTTCAGATGGGGGTAGACCTAACTCCTGAAGAGTTCGCTGACTAGATACACAAGGAAACGCAAACTAAGCAGCAGCATCTGCTAAATATACAATCCCTTGGATATCACTATCTGTAAAAGCTAAAACGGAAGAAAGCGCTGGGTCAGACCTTGGTGCTGGACCACACTCAGACTTGGCTCAGCCCGAGCTTGGGCCACTAGCCTCAAAGCCACCCCTCGAGGGAAAAATCATGCAGGGACAATAGAAAGTACTTCTAAGGCCTCTGGTCACCAAGTAGGTAGTCAATGAGGGGGACGGCAAAGCCAAGAAACCATTGAAACCAGGGGGGATGGTGTAAAGGAGCTGTTTCATTTTGTAGATCAGTATCACCCGCTCCCTGAAGAACCTTGACTAAAATGGTGGCGAGAGGAACTAATCTGGGGGCTGTGTCTTTAGTTCTGAATGCTGCAGAGTAGAAGAGCGTGTTCGGGTTGACACGGGACCCGTGGCTCACTGCTGTACAATCACAGATGGCTCTGTGTGAACCAGACACACAGGAGCTTCTTCCCAAGAGGACAGCCAGCCTGGTGCACTGGATAAACGCCACTGTCAGGTCTGTTTACCCTGAGAAGGGGGAGAGGATGACTGATTTCAGACTGAAAGGAGCGGCCTCCCATGAAGACGGCTCCGCTTATAGAACACTATGACCACTCTTGGCCATTTCAGGTAAACCAGTAGGTTAGGATGCAGATCAATTAATTATGGACGAGGGGAGAGAGCCCCACGTCGGGACAAGTGGCTTCAGTCCCTCAAACCCTTTCCGACCACTTAGAGGCACAGGCTCCGATCAGCGTAAGGCTGTCTTTACCTCCCAGTCTCCATCTAAAAAGAAACTTCCCGCTGTGTCTTACAGTCACATCACACAAGTACGGAATCCTGCATCCTCCTAACCTTACACACAGTTCCTCTGCTCTTTTGTTTGCTGTCCTTTTTCCAAAATTCTACTCTAGGAAAGTTCCAAGCAGCTCCCCAAATCCACCCATTCTAATTTTCAAAACTGGAACTTACTTCTGCTGATGGAGTAGGAGACAAAGTCCTTGGAGACTAGAAGAATAAAAGAGAATTTAAATTAACTTGTTATCATTTTAATTAGAGTTGCTTATCAGAATCACCTGGAAACATTCTTCAACGGACACCTGCCAGCACCCCCTGTCCGTTCCCCATCTGATTCAGTAAGTTGAGAATAGGGCTCAGACAGCTACACACGACAAAGTTCCTAGGAGACTGTGCCCAAGACTCTGCTGAAGAACCGTGGTTTTGATAAATACGTTGTGATGCTTCAGGTGATTAAGTTAGACAAACTGGAACTATTTCCCTTCTATGTTCAAGTTATGCTCAGTTATTACAGTGTCTACCAAAATACAGAATTTTGTAAACATGGTTGTTGAGTAAATTATAACCACAGCAATAGCATAAAATAGTTTGATGACTAAAATAGGCCTGTGATGACCAGGTCTGTGGCATCCGGCCCTGGTGGCCTTGCCAACCTCACCACCATTCACATTTCGGCTTCCATCCTTCCAGGCATACAGGCTTCCTTGGGGCAATCAACAAACCAAGCCCTCTCTCACCTCAGGGCCTTTGCACTTGCTGCCCCCTCTGCCAGCAGTGCTTTGCACTCAGACACCTGCAGGACTCATGCCCCATCTTCAGTGAGCTGTCTACTCAAATGCACTACCACACAGTGCCTTCCATGACCCTCCCATTTAAAGGAGCAACCCAGCCCTGGCATGCTTTCTCCTCACTCTGCTTCATTTTCCTCACAGCATGCTCACCCTATAAAATTAGATTATATATCTGTTTGTTTATTGTCTGTCTCCCACATTACACTGCAGGCTCCATGAGGGCAAGCACCCCATTTGTTTACAATTAAGTATTCCCAGTGACTAGAGTAGCTTCTAGTACACATTAGGTACCCAACAAGTATTTGCTAAATGAATGAATGAAATGTTTAGAATAAAAATGCAAAAAGCTTTCAAATAGAAATGAAATGCAAACAAAGCACTCTGAAGAACACGGCCAGTGATGGACTTCTCAGTTTTAGAATTTGCCCCTTTCCCCAAATTTATAAGAAGCTGACGGGCTCTGTGGCACTCCAGACTTCCTCAAGCCCCATGGTCTTGTCTGCTGCAACAGCCTGTCTTGGGGGCATCTGAGCTGGGTGAAGGCTCCTTGAGGGCAGGAGCCAGGTCTGCCCCTGCTGACAGCCGGCTCCTGGGTCCACCCTACTCATGCCTTCTGAAGGCACAAATGGCTACACAGAACTTCAAGTTTACTCTTCCAGTGTTTCTAAAATGGCCATATATGGATTCTATGAAAGAAGTGTTAATAACTAAAGGAACAAATAATCAAATAGCTTGTAAAGTTTTCTAAGTTGCAAGATCTGTGTGTGGGGAACAGTGCACTAATGTCTGATTTCTGATCTAGGGGCATCTTCCCATCGAGATTCTATACCCAGGGAAACCCACAGGTCATCGTTCTGGGTTATGACGGTAACGATGCTGATTATGAGAGCAGCCAGCATTTGTGCTGAGCACTTATTCTGTGCCAGGTACTGTTCTAATCTAAACATGTCACTTAATCCTCACAGAAAACCTCTGAAGTAGGTATTATTATTATTATCTTGAGTTTACAGACAAGCAGACTGAAATATGTAATTTTCCCCAAGTCAAATGATTAGTAAATATCAGAGTCTGGTTCCAAACCCAGAAATGTTCACTTTAAAGCCCATACTCTTAAGTGCTTGATGTTTTACTGCCCAACATGGAGTTACTGGGAAACACAGAAATACATACACATTCCCCAAACCCCATAAAAACAACTCACTTCCCCCTTGCTTCTATGACTTGAACACTAGGAAATTCTCATCCACTTGCTCCAGGACCAGCCCCTGTGCACTCTGTTCTGGAACCTTCCTTGCCCTTTATCCCCTATGCAACTCTCCCAGGCCCAATGGCAGCTGAAAAGCCCAGGCCAATCAACTTGCATTTGAGAGCTGAGGCAGATGCAGTTACAGCAATGTGACCACTAGGTGGCACTATATGAAAACGCATACCACATCCTGCCCAACGGACCGTTTCAATGCAGAGCTATGTTCTGGAATAAAACCCAGATTGGACAAAAGATACATAAAAACAACAATATATATTATAATTATAAATAAATATAAACAATTATAAAACAATAAACACTACATATATCATTGAGAACAAATTAAATAGAATCACCACATTTGCGTTCTGTTTCTTCATCTAAGATCTCAAAGCATTGTGCGATGTTACAGATAGTTTACAGCGTGTTTTAACTTTGGTTGAATGGCTAATTTTGACCCACTACTTGGGTAACATCTCTCTGATTGGACTCAGTCTATAGATGATTCCAATTAGAAACATTAAAGGGGAAAAAAAATTAAGAGTGAGTTGAGTAGGCCAGGGGAACAGATCAGAGTCTCCGAGACCTGGGTAGGAGGTGACAGCAGGGAACCCCAACCCTGGGAGGGCGGGGGAAGGGGGGGACCCCAAGGGGCTGAGAGGCTGTGCTCCAGCCTCTGCATCATTAATGTTGGGAGAGCATTAACAAGCCTCAAGAGGACAGGTAAAGACAACAGTGGTAGCTGTGACTTGCCAAACATTTACCACGCGTCTGGCTCTCTGCTAATTGCTTTAATAGATTAGTTTATATAGCCTAGCTTTAACAGATAATAGATTATCTAGATATTATATAGATATTAATCTTTAATAGATACGTTTATTTAATTCTCACTAACACCCTATGAGGTAGATTCTGTTATCATCTATCTGTTTTACAGATGAGGAAACTAGGATCAGAATGGTTGTTACAAGGCCAAAGTCATACAGGCAGCACGTGGAGGGACAGTGGGACAGGTTGTTTAATACCGCAAAGCACCTGGAATGGAAGCCTGCAAATAGTAGGCAATCAAAAGGACCTTCTGATTTATTTTGACTCCAGTCAGTAGTTCTTATACATGTGACGAAAGAGAAGTAAGTCGCTGTACAACTCACAACTTCTAGGAATTTGTTACCTCTCCCAAGCTCTGCCTCTCCTGTTTGTCATCATAGCCCGAAGAGTAGAAAGGCTCATAGGAAATAAGATCTGGACGTTCGATATCATAGATTGCCTTGACCTTGGGAATGGCTGCTAAATCCTTGTAATCCAGGATTTCATTGTCCACTTTTGCCTGGCAAAGTTAAACAGAAAGAAAAATCACTCCGCAGTCTCATTTCTTCAGGAACTATCGTTAGTGCATTTCATGTCTTGCTTAAAAAGTTTTGCTTATCTTAAAAATAAACAAAACCCAAAACACTTTGCTTAGTATGGTCATACTCTGTAGAAAGTTGCTGATTTACACCATTTATTAATCATGTTTAAAAAAAAAAAAAGTCACCAAAAGCTTAGGAAAAGTCTATGTAGAATTCGTCAAGCAGAGAAGATTGTAAACCTTTAAGATAATTTCCTGAGTTTATTACAGAGAAGGAAAAGCTCAAACAAATGGTCAAAAAACCCTCCCAGATGGCTAAAAACAAGAACTACATATTTAATAAACTAAATATTTAAATATCTTTGTGGCAGAATTTAAGAATACTCAGTATCGGCATTATAAAACGTATAGTTAATCCCTAATATCTGTATGCATGTTAGCACAACAAGTCTTGAAGTCCTGCATCACATTACTGCATTTTACAGGTCATCTACTGATGGTGGCATTCACATATAAATTTAATTATCTGAAGGAAAACATGACTGAGAAGGCTGATCTACAAAAATGAAAATCGGATCTCACAACAGAAATAGAAATCCTTTTGAATTAGCTTCTATTTTGGATTGCCCACTCCACTCTGACAATCCGCTACCATACCTATCCCGAAAGCACCCCTTCCAGAAGTAGATACTTACATAGATAGTGTGACCAGGGGAGCCAGGGATACTGGAGCCCGGTCTAGAATAAATGCTTTCGGAGGAAGTCCTGGTAGGCTGTAAAATAAAGAGGGACTTGTAAGATTTCAGACCATGGCTTCAGAATCCAGACTGGCCTAAATCCCTAAGTTTTACTAAAAACTAAGCTGGTTAAAAAAGGAACGATTTGTGACTTTTGGGACAAAAGGCAAACACAACCTACAAGGAAACATCAAGGAGAACTAGTTGTGCAATCCAGCCTGGAAAACGTATTTGACGGCCTTTCTTTTTACCTTCTCTTCCTTATGCCCTACAAGACCTTCCGGCTCCCCCTTCGCAAGCATTTCTCTCCATGTCCATTGCCACGATCCCGGCCCCAGTCACCGCCTCGGCTCGTCTGGACTGCTGCAATGGCCTCCTCTGTGGGTTTCCTGCCTTCACTCTTGCCCTCTTCGAATCTACTTGGTACCCAGTGGCCAGAGAGGGCGTTTAAGAACAGAATTTGGATTCTCTCTATCCTGCTTTTGGCTTCAGGGTCCACTTCGAATAAAACCACAACTCCCAGGACTTCAGGATTTTGTCCCTGCCCTCCTCTCCTACCCTGTCACCCACCACCCCCCATCACTCACGGGACGTGGTGCCCATCCCTGCTTCAGGGGTCTTAGGCTTACTGCACCCTCTGCCTGAAATGCTCGGATCCCATTTTACTTGGCTGATTTTTTTTCCTCCTTTGGTCTTGGCTTAAATATCACCTCCTCAAAGACGCCCTGCCTCATCTTTCAATCCAGAGTTGGTTCTCCTTGTTTTCTCTAACAAAATTTATAGTTCCGTATTTATTAGTTTCCTGGCATCATGTCTATCTCCACCAAGATCTTTAGTTATGATCTCTGCCCTCAGAGGGTTTATTTTTTCACCACCGTCTATGCCCAGTGTTTTGCACAGGTACATAGAAGACATAAATATTTGTTGAGGGAATGAGCCAGAATTTATTACTTGTAAACAAATACTCAGTTTGTGGATACTTGATTCATGTTAATGACACAATTTGAGCCTAACCACACAGAGTCACTGAAGTAAAGTTAGTGGTTGGCCGCTGGGGAAGAGAAAAGAAATGGAACTTTATAATTTATGGTTAGAGAACCCTGAGGACGAGTGGTGGTCATGGGAGTGCAAGAGAGAGGTAAAAACCAGGATTAACTGCCTCCTACCTCTGCTTGGCATATTCTGGAAAGCTCTGCAAAGAAAACAGAAGGCCTAGTCTTCTTGGAAGACTTGCTTCCTTCTGCACAGCTATTCTTGGAGAGGATAATTTATAGTTCTAAGTCGGGAATAGGACTTTTTCCTCTTCGATACTATTTCTACTGATATTCGGCACCTTGAATATGAGCGTAACTGAACCAAATGAGTTCCTCAAGACAAGGATGCTGCATCACTACGTAATTCGCATCTGAAGCAATGAAGGCCAACCTACCTGGCCAATTCGAGTCAGGCAGTGATCAGACTCACTCTAAGGGTAAGAATTAATTCACTGGGGGCCTGTGATCAATCATGCTCAGCCAGTGTCTCTGGTATCTCTGACATATGAGGGTGGCTGGGGTTGCAGAAATCACACTGTGAACAGGTGGAGGTGAGCCCGGCTCACGGCTTCTGGTCCTCCTCCCCAAGACCTGCCATGTACAAGCACTTGCCTTCTAGAATTACAATTTTCCAATCACAGGCATATCTCAATACAAGAAAATTCCTAATTCTGAGTATACCGAAAAAGAAAAGATTTACATAATAACACTACTCAAAAAGTGCAATTCCTAGATCCATTTCCCAATCAAAACACAGAAGTGACACAACCAAAGGGCAGCCCTCCTTTAAAAAGAAATGCCATCCCTTAATAAAGTTGAGCCAATAGCCACCTTGGTAAGATAATTATTAACTACAGGGAGTCCTTCAGCTTCAAGTGGCCAGGATCTAATATTTTCCAAACCCAATAAAAAATGAAGCCTAACTAATAATACAGGAACATTAGTAGCAGCTGATATTTACTGCCCACGCACTACGTGGCAGGCTCTGTGATGAGCACTTCCCAGGCGTGATCTCATTTGATCTTCTCAATAACCCCCTGAGGTAGGTTCCATTATCACCCCTATTCTACAGATGAGGGGAAAGTACACGTGCTCCAAGCTACACAGGTAGGTGAGTGTTAGGATTTGAAGCCAGACACCCTACAGGCAGAGCCCAAGCTCTTGATCCCTGCACTACATTTTTCCCCATATTTTAAGGTGAGTGTAACCATTTATTTCCCACCAACATAACTTTGGGACAAATGAGGTGAAAGGAAAAGAAAAATACATTGATCAAGTAGCAAAAAAGAGTGCCTGCTAACTGAAAATATTTTTACTGCCACCAGCAATACGAGAACCCAGTAACAGCTCCCTGTGTTGGGGTGGGGGAGGAGAGGGTGTGCTCTGGACAGCCAGACATTTGCAGCTGCCGGCGTTGCTATGACAAAGGCCTGTTTTCATGAACAAGCATCTAGGACATTGTGTGAACAGCCTGGTGCACGCTGAGCTTTGGGGTCTCTCCCATGTTACTCATCCCTATTTTTGCCAAACGTGGGTCAGGGATACTTCTTTCTTTCCTGTAATGACACACCCGAGGACGGCTCTGAAGCGTTCTGTTCTCTTGTGTACTGCGCACGCTGATAGGAAGATAACTGGAGGACAACATGAGCACATCGGGAAGGGTCTTTAATGCTCTCCTCCAGGGATGAAGAATGCCCTCGAAAGGTCTCTTGGCTGAACTAGCCTGTTTCAGTTCAGTCTCTCTCTCCCGTCCTTCTTCACTGGATTAAAGTATCCTGCGGGTTCTGTAGGCTGTCCCTGAAGAATTTATCTTGTTCATGTACACCATTAACATTGTTGGGCTAAGGGTTTTGAGTGTTATCTGGCAACATGAATTTTGTCAAGTCTCATTTGATTCTTTAAAGGTTTTCAGATCGGAATCACCTCCAATTTGCATACACCTGCCCTGGGTTCTCTGATTCCAAAATAAATATTTTAGATTTTTATAGTCAGTGTTCCAAGTCCAGTCAACGTTCACCAAATCTGCTGATGCTCTGGCTCTTCCTAGAGAGATCACTCTGCCAAGCGCATCCTTAGACTATGTAGCGCTGTTTGAGAAATGCTCAAGATGGTCTCTTGTAGATTCAGAAACGGCTCGTCCTTCACTGCATTTACCACGGTCTGCTTTGGCTTTGTTCTGACCTCCTAATCTTACTGCAAAATTTACTTTCATAGGCATCTCGTTTATGGATTGGGTTGCACTCTTGCTTGCCCATTTTCTTACAAGCGCCCTTCTTTGTTTCCCCGCCTAAAATGAAATAATGGCATAAAACGCAACTCTCTATAATATAATACAGTGGGGTTAAAAAACTGGCTTTGGAGTCAAATAACTTGGTTTAAATCCTGGCTCTACGATTTCTGTGACATTACATGAGTTTTTCTTTTTCTTTCCTTTTTCTTTTTCTTTTAACTTCCTTGAGCTTCAACTTCTCCATTTATAGAGTGGAAGAGAGGATACTAACAACACCTATTTCACGGGGATAAATGAGACAATACATATAAAGCTTCAAGCACTTTGCCTGGCACGTGGCAAGTACCCAGCACTTCAGTTAATCTCAAATGATGACGGACAGCACTGCCTCTGTTTTGCTCCTCAGGAGAGGATAGTCCTTTCCAATGCGAGCTATGTAGACCAGACTTTCCTCGAGTTCTCTACGGCTACCACACTTGGATTCCTTCCTAGCAGAACTCAGATATGTTAAGTAATTTATCACAGTACATGGGGCAGCAGTCCCACCTGAGTTGACAAATATTCTTCCCCTTCTTGAGAACTCTGAAATGATCCTGTATCCTCTCGAGACGGTGACTTCCTGCTTAGGTCTTGGCTTTAGTAATTAATGCCCTTCCGTGCTGGATGGCAAAGACCTTGCACAGGCCTGCCTTATCTGCCAAGACAGTCCCTCATTTGCTGCCTCTTGAACTGTGCTCAAGGCTTACACAGCACACATGGATTGCCTGCTTTTGGTCACAGTCTCTAATGGCTTCCAAAGTGTATTTGCTCCATCAGTAAGATTAGAAGTCTCTCTCTTACAAAGATAATAAAATCACTTTTTAAAATTGAACGGTTATTTTTGAAGTTTTAATCCTAAATATTTATAATTTTACATTTCAATTCTAAACATCTAGAATTCTAAACGTTGAATTTTAAATGAACATCTTGTTTGTTATTGAAAGAACTCTTTTTATTCTTCTAGCTGTATTTCTTCCCCTAATTAATACATAACTTGCTGAGGGCTAACATGGCTAAGACATCTTCAAAAGGCACAGAGCTGTCTTCCAACATAGCAGCTCAAATCTACTCAAATTGAAACTCCTCTAATCTCAAAAGCAACAACTTATTGACATGCTTCCCTCTTTCAAATCTCACTGACAGTTTCTTCTTTACTATTAACTCGGGCTGTAACAAAGTTTTACAGATGATCCATATTTCCATAGATGATCCTTATGCACAATTATTTAACCTAAATTACCATTTTAACCCATTCAGATATCCACATTAACAAGAGTGACCCAGTAATTATGAATTGAATTCAATAACCCAATGGATCAGCAGCCTTTGTTTCTGGAATTCTCCATGAGAGTTATGATGAACAAAATTACTCTCTTGCCTACGTTATAAATGAAGATAATTTCAAATATTTATCCCAAAGGTATGCCCACTTCTGTTCTACAGAGAAAGGACATAGGACTTATGATTAACCTGTTAAAAGCAGATGTAATTTACTTCTTTTTCTTTAAGCATCTTTTCCTTCATGTTTTGCAGAAAAAAGAGATCTTGAAAGCCCAAGTGGAAAATTCCGTTCTTTCTTTTGATGCCATCTTTGGCAGAAAAAAAAAAGGCAGTGGGAGGAGTGGAGAAGGCATGGTAGATATAGAAAGGATTATAGACTGGCTGTGAACTCTCAAAGTATTTTGCCCCAAAAATTAGGCAAACAATTTAATCCTTATTTTGGCAACCGGAGGGAAGGAGCCTTCAGCAAGAACTTTCTAGTTGGGTATGGCTGTCCTCACTCAATCTCTCATGAAGAAGGGGTCCATATGACCCACATTTATTTCCCAGAACACCTTCACATACTCACTTTTGATTTCAAAAGCTTTTTTATGATTTCAAAAAGGTTTTTTATCCACAAAAAAAAAGAGGAAAAAAAAAATCAACAGAGTGAGGTCTCACCAGAAGACTAGTGGTTTATTTTAATAAGAGAAAAAATGGCATTTGATCACTAGTAGTAGATGTTTGAAAACGCACGTCTTTTTGAAATCTTTTCAAAAAGCCCTCTAACATTTCATCTGATTTTTTCCCTATGCATTGATTTTGTCCATCTGTCCTACCAGCCAGAAGGCACCATCGCAGAATGAAAATTACACTGAAGAGATCTTTTTATGTTGCCACTTCAGCTCTCATCGTTCTTCAAATATTGACCATTAAATCACTTACCAGAGCTCTGCCTGGCAAGCAAGCAGAGAAATGACATTTTCCATTTACTTTCATTCTGGGCCACCATGTACACCTGGTCCCTTCTCAGAAGGAGAGTGCTGGAAAGCACTCTGCTGCCCCCGCCACCCCCCCACTCAGCAGGAGCAGGGATGCACAACTACGTTCATCTAATTTGTGCTCTTCCAAAGCCATGCTCTAAGGAGGGAGAGAAACTACAGGCTACTGGCAACCACATCAGGAAGATCTTAGGAACACCTATGGGACAACTACTGATGTAAGGTGACTGCCACCTTATACGAAGTGCTGCTGAGGTTGACAGTACCTGCCTTGGGTTTTTGTTGAAGATCGCTAGACAAGGTGGTGATAATAGCTGCAGAAGAAGGAATACTTTAAAAATCTGCATACATTGAATGTTCACTGCTAAGTCAAGAAAAGGTGAGATCATCTGCTTTGGAAAAAGGAACAGGTGTTTGAGAAGAAGCAGGGAGGGGCTTGCAGGCACACACTTCCTTCTCTGGAAACACTTTCCCAAATGCCATCAGCCTCTACTATGGCCAAGAGGCCTCAATGTCTTTCCAGCACACATCTTAACACCTATACATTCTGATGAATTGTAAAGACACACCAAAAAGAATAAAATATTCAAACAAAGTGAAAGCTGAGAATAGAGCAGTATGTATGGTAGCGACATTAATACAACAAAAACCACCAACATTATTTCCTTGTTCTAAACATACATATAGCCTCTAATCAGCTCCTTTTAAAAAATGTACACACAGTATTTGGTATGTTATAGGTTTGCAAGTGCATACATTATAATAGGTGAATGTTAGTTTCAAAAGAAAAAAAAAATCTCATGCCCATTTTGCATGGCAGTCCATTCATGCTTTAACCTCCAAAAGCACAGCAGAGAAGCCCCTTTTGAGAATGAAAGCAAGGGATCCACTCTGGATTATTACAAACTTGGTCCTGGGAATATCATGTGCTATGTGCTATGTAACGAATTACAACAGGAATTACAAATGCTCAGTACTGAGTTTTACCTAGAGACAAAAGTTGCTATTCATATGAAACTCTTCCAAGTAAGTAAAATCAGAATATTTTTTTCTTAGGTAATTCTATTTTCATTAATTCCTTTTCCCTGTAATTTAGCAAGAGAAAAGAAGGAACAATTTCAGAATATAAATAATAAAAGGACTTTCTTCCTATAAATTTGACTTTCCTCTACAACAAAACCAGGGTTTATTTCTGGGGCACAGAGTGCTGAAGGTTCCTGCAAGGAGAACAGTTTATCTAATAACTAAAGGTGTTTCATATTATTTGGTGAAATGAGCTGCTGTATAGGCCACAGTATTTAAAACATCAAAATATCTGTGTGACTTGAGAATTGGAGGTTTTAGGCTTCTTAAAGGTTCTCGTGAGCAGTTCCTCAACGGTCAATGGGTGAAGGGAGACCTTTGTTAAATGGCCCATTTTCTCTGCCAGGTTCCAAGCTGTTTACAACTTTCTGTGATAAAGCTAAAGTTGACTTCATTGATAGTTACAGCTGAATAATGGGAATCAGATGTCCCTTTTGAGCAAGAGGATAGGAAGAAAGAAGTTATTAATAACAGGTCTCTCTCTCTTTCCTCTAACCTACCACTTCTCAAGATGCTCCACATCTCCTAAACTTAAGGATCTGGAGCAAACCAACACATTTCACACTTGATGAAGGTATTTTTCTTCACGTCCTGAAGATGCATCACTTGGCTACAGCCTTAGGCTAACAAAATAGAACACTATTTGAGTTATAAAGTATAATTTTGGGGGGAAAAACCCCAAAAACTATTGAAAAGGCAATTAACTTCTTGCCAATTAGAGATACTAATTCTGAGCAGCACTCATTTGCAATGGGGACGATCTTTGGCTGTTCCTCTGGATTCATGAGATTATAATTTCTCTCTATGTGAAAACTCTGCCACTGGAGCTAAAACCTTAAGATAGAATGAAGATCATACAACAAATACAAGTTGGAGTGTAACCCAGGACCCAACACAACGCAAGGCCTGGAATCTGCAGTAACGTCTTGCTGCTTATGACCTGCGTAGCCCTGGGCTGATTTCATTCTATAGATGAAGAAACTTAGGGGGCTGAAGTCTAAAGGATTTCTTTCCACTCTAAAACTCTCTACTTCTAACTATCTTTCAAACCATTTAAAGAAAGAAGGTGAAGTTTTAATAAAAGTAGATCAAAACCAAAACTCTTCTCAGCCTTAATACAGCTTTGGTAGGCACAGAAAAAAGGCGTAGGCACGAAGCCCGGACTACAGTGCTGTGCTGCCATCTTGAATTGTCAGCAGAGCCACCAAATGGGTTTCATCTGGTCAAAGACGGGATTGTGGAAAGACATTTGTAATTTAACAGGTGAAGGTTTCAACTGATTCTCCGAGACCCCGAAAGAAGGTCAAGTATGTGCAGGGAACACAGTCTCCTGTCTCGCCGCTCATCTGGAGAGCTGACTCTCCTTGCTTCTGCACAGGTCCTACAGTCATCTGCTCTCTTCCTTAAACACCATCAGACTCAGCAAGGATTTGATGCTCTCCTCCTGCTGTCTTCCCAGGTTTCTTGCTCTCTCTCCCCTTGTAGTATAGAGGAAAGAAGATGAATTATGGGCTCACAGAGACCTGGGTTCCAATCCTACGTCTTTCACTTACCAGTGGGGGTAACTCTGGGGAAGTTCCTTAACTATGAATGATCTCAGTCTCTCCATCTGTAAAATGGGAATAAGGATAGCTACCTCATAGGAATACTTAGGGAGAGCAACTGAGAGTGTATGTAAATCCCCCAGCCTCTGCAGATAAGTGCCTGGTCTCATTGTTTCCTTTCCCATTTCCCTACTCCTTTCTTGAGCCAAACCACTCCCTACCCAAGCACCGCTCTTCCCTGGCTCCCTGCTGTTCCCTGATGAAGCTGTATTCTTCATCAGGCCCACCCCTTTCTCATCATCTCCACATGTTCAAATGTCACTCAGCCTCTAAAATTCAACTCAAAGACCACTTCTCCCAGGAGGTGCCTCTTGAGACCCTTTCCCTTATCTGACATTCCTTGATCTATCTGATCCACATCCTGTGATAAATTTCTATACCATTTTACAATTATTTACCTGTCTTCCCTTTCAGTCTAGGTCTAGAGCACCCAGCCCAGCATTAACTATACCCGGGCGCTCAGCAAATATTTGTTCAGTGAACAAACATGTGAACACAGGACCAAAAGGGTAGCTTCTAATGTGCTTGCTTTAACGAAGACAACGCTTTAGCCACTGCTCTAAATGAAAACACTGATCGGAGAAGAAAACAGCCAGAACCAGGATGTGAGATGCACTCTGTGGCGTGAGAGAAAGCATCTGCCCCTGCAGGAGCCAGAGAAGTTACGTGAGAAAAGCAGCACACGGAGGAAAAGCGACAGAAGCCTGGGGCCAGGACAGCGGCTCTGAGCCTCAGCCCAGACACAGCGCCAACCTGCAGAAATGGAGACCGTCCTGTGCGTCGAATCAGACTTTTGGGATAAAAGAAATCAGATGAAGAACGACGAATGTTTGGCTGCCGTGAAACATGAAAAAAGGGAAGAATGAACAAAGAAATATCCTCAACTCAGCAACATTATCCAAAAAAGAAAAAAAAAAAAAAACTTTCAGGAAAACCGATTTGATAGTAAACCCAAGTGGCATTGCTTTAGTTGATTGTGTGTGCGTGTGTGCGTGTATGTTTTGGGGCCCATGTTTAAAAGCACATTAACTGGTCTTCAAGTTATAGTATATTTACCTATGTTCCAATCGCCCCACCATTCTTTTCCATTTATTTTGGCTTAGACATTCTTACATATAAAGAATAAGAAGCCAGTGAGGCCACTGAGAGATGTTCTTAAGAATCTGTTGTTACAAACATCCCACGAGTTCTTAAATATCAAGAATGTGGATTACTCAGTGGGGTTGCTGAAAGACTTAAAACATTTTCATTTTGCTATGGTAACTGCACTAATGTGACACCCGGTGAAAGGCCTGGAAATCTTGGCTCAAGATTTGTGATCTGTAGACACACCCTTAAGAGAGCACAAGATTTATTCCCTTATTCAAAAACTGATTCCCCTTTAAATCTCACCAACATCAGCACGTACCCCGCTCGGGGCACAATGGAACCTCTTCCCCTCGGAGGTGCACCATCCTTCTCACTACTGGGCTTCCCAAAGGTGAGTGAGCTGAGGGCTGGCCTGACCTCCCAAGTGGTAAATGTTGGCTTTAGAAGAAGAGCTTTGGAATTCTCTGGAAAGCTTTATTAAAGGAAGAAAAAACAATAGCTCCTCTTGGCCAGAATGAGTGGAAGTATTTCACTAGTTGTTTTCATAAGCTTATCCAGAGAGTTCCATCAAGCTGCAATCAAGAGTGCTGATTTTTTTTTTAATCATTTTAGTAACATGATCTGCAAACTCAAGCACTCCTTATAGAGAAAAGACACACATTCCATGCAATCTGGCCTCATTAGCATTCCTCTTTTTGTCTCCCAAAAGACTTCATCAGGGATGAAGTAAAAATGATAATTCAAAAAACTAAAAGCAATACTGTAGAGATAGTGCAAACCACTAGCTACTTGGGTGGTTTCTGGGCAGCATCTCCTAGCTATGTTGTGAATTTTACATTCTTAAGATAAAAAGTGTCAATAAGTACTATCTTTAATGTTCTACTATTTTATAAAGATAACCCATTTCCAAAGCATCCATGGTTCCTCAAAAGTCCCAGAGTCTGGCACCCAGACATGGGTGACTATTCTAGCGTATGCCTGCCTGGTTGACGGACTTGAGGGTTATACACACACGCTCAAGTTGAAGCTGTATGTCGAAACAGAGACCAAAACCATCCTGATATTGGTGGACAAATTCTTTTACAGTTTGTCTTGTCTTTACTCAATTATTCTGAGAAAAAGCAGTTTTTTTCTCCACTTAAAGTATGCTGTGCTGGGGTTACATACATAGCTCTGTATACCTGCTACTGGCAGATCAAGAAGAAATGATACCACACTCCAGAGTCTGGCCTCCAATATAAATTCAGGCCATTCCTTCCCCTGAGACACCAAGTAGAGTACAGTCAAACTCCAGTTTTTCCAAGGGTATCACTAAGTTAGCTAAATGGAGAGACTGTGGACTGGGATCCAGTCTGATTATTGCTTTAAAAAACACTTCACGCCCAGGTGAAAAACTGGGGGCATCTGAACAGGATACAGATGATGATTATGACCTTACAACTGTGTACAGCTCTTTGCTTCTGAAACAGACAAAATATTGTCGTCTGGAGGTGTTCTGAGACTTGACTAAGACCAGGAGAAGGCTTTAGAAGTTAGAGATAAAGAGGGTCTATCTTTTTGCTCTTGTGCTCAATGTTCTAGGATAATTACTAAAACATTTTGATGCTACCTAAGAGTTAAGTTACAAAACCATTCAGGGTGCTTGTTCACATCGAAACATCTGGGCTCATAATTATTTTCCCCAAAGGTTTTATCTGACAAACTATCAGCTTTTAGAGATGGAGGCTACTCAGTGAATTTGGATTTGAGAGGTCAGTAGAATGTACCAAGAGCTGAGCAGTGAATGCAGAGTTTGGGTTGGAGTGGTCATGGACTAGGTACAAAAGACAGTCTGGTGAGGAGGTCATCAGACGGTGGACCTAGAACTTGATGAGTCAGTTTTTCACATCTGTATGGTTTGACTTTTCCCTTGAATGCTTTCCTAAGAACCTGACTAGTGAGGCAAGGCTTCCTTTGTCCAACACAAGCATTTGGAAACAAAAATCACAATCAATTTAAGGCAAGAGGGAACCTCCTTCCCTGGCCAAATGGCCTTTCAACTTGGTCTGCTATAGAGAAAAAAAGGTCAAAAAAAGGTAATTTCACCCAAACTCTAGTCCCAAGAATTAGTGACTATAAAATACATGGCCTGCAAATACAGCAGCCTCACAGCTCTAATCGCTTCCTTACCCGCAGCTTTTCCTCAGTCTTAGTAGATTGCTTACAGTCGGGATGCCAAACGGTGGAACCTGGAAAGACACAATGCAGCGCTCAGAGTAAAGGAAATGGATAGAAGCCACAGTCCTATTAGACAGAACTTCTGGGAAAGGTTCATATCCCTCTTTCCCCATAACAGGGGAGTATTAGAGCCCCGTGCCCAAGTGAATTATGACAACTCCAACTCTAGGTGAGTTTTCCTCATCCAGTCAGAGCTTGTTCTTCAAAGGTCATTACTGTAGACCACAGAGACCACTAACTGGGCACAAAAGTGTTTTGACGCAAGAGATATTTATTCTTGACTGGGTGGTGGTGATTTTTTCTTTTAACCATATGATTATCCTTTAAAAGTAATGTCTGTGTGCTTACTACAAGCTGCATTTAATTTCAGAAATATAAGCCATAAGTCGTGTTTATGTAACATAAAACAACCAAGCAATTTAGCTGAGGGAAATAAAGTCAAACCAGACAGTCTACATCCAGAAGCAAAACTCACTGAATCTTTCTGCTGATCCAATTATACACAGTCATCTACACAGATATGGGAAATCAAGTCAGCTAGTAGGAAGGCTGAAATTATATTACAAATCCAAGTTTCCTTTAACTTTCAAACTTTTAATTAACTAAAAAAAAAAAAGTCTTCATGTTGAAACTAGTGAAGTTACTACTTAAGTGTCATTTTCTGTTCCTGGGTCAATGGCTCACTTTCTCAGAGTATGAAGCACTTTCATGGCTGGAACCAGTATTACAGAACTCAGTGAAGCACTTATGTCCAATAGAAAGCTCTTATCTTGTAAGAATCCAAGCCTGCCTCTATGATTTTGTATACCTAGACACATAATATATGTCATTTATACGATTATGGAGAAGACCTACATGTAAGTCCTACGTTCACACAAGGGTATGTTCAAATGTGGGGACGGGTAGGAGCTTGAAGGAGCACTTAAAAAGACTTAAGCAAATAACGTTACTAAGTTGAAAGCAGTGAGTAAATGATATAAATTTCATAAGAGTCTCAGTATAAACATTAGACTTTCTACATTTTATTGTTGAAATCTTTATCTCTTCAAATAGCAATCTGTGTGGACTTGAAAATTCATCAAATTAAAGTAACTTGAATTATTTTATACCACTGAGATAAAAAAATATTAAATTAATGACACAAAAAATACATTTTATCTTAGAATAATATTTTAATCCCTATTTAACAATCATTTCTATCTTGCTTAACCCAGGGCCAAAAAAAAAAGAAAGAAAAATGAAAATCAAACAATCAGACAGACACATAGCCCCTTCAGCACTAACAATTACTCTGAGGCCAGCTACAAAGCACAGGAAATCCTCTTAATGGGGAGGGCCAAGGAGTCAGGGCCAGGCCCAGGAGTAGCATTCTCTGGGCAGCTTCCATTGAGCGAGAGTCCTCGGCCAGAACACCGGGTTTGTGCACAGTGTCACATTGTTCTCCAGAGGTCAGACACCAAAAGAACGTGACTCAGAAAGAACATCAGATGTTGAGAAAGATAAAGCTGTTCATTCTTCAAGGATGTGCCAAGAGGGCAGGCAAAGAGGACTGAGGCCCAACTCCAGAAGAGATTTACAATGATCCTGGAATTCTGCATGTAGCCCATCTTAACAGAATAGTTGTTTATTTGTAGTATGAATGTGCTGTATTTGTGCACAGCTTGAAACCGCCCTCTCTATTCAGCTTCTAGAACCATGTGAACGTGCAGGGCTGCACCCAGAGCCTTTGAGTCTCAGTCCCTAGCAGATGTAAGGTTGACATGCACTCCTGCATCTTTGTGTTTGAGTGCTATAATTGACACACTCAAATCTAAAACAAAGCCTGGAGACGAAATGAAAAATAAATCTGGGGCCTGCCCCGTGGCTTAGCAGTTAAGTGCGTGCACTCCGCTGCTGGCGGCCCGGGTTCGGATCCCGGGCGCGCACCGACGCACCGCTTCTCTGGCCATGCTGAGGCTGCGTCCCACATACAGGAACCAGAAGGATGTGCAACTATGACATACAACTATCTACTGGGGCTTTGGGGGAAAAATAAATAAAATTATTAAAAAAAAAAAAAAAGAAAAAGAAATCTGCTCGATGGTGAAAATGCAAAGTGACATCTGCCTATTGCTCCTGCAGATTTACAGCCTGTCCTTGGGAAAATGTGTCACATAAAGCCCAGAGGAGACCACGGATTCAGTGCTTGTCACTTGCCTTTATGGGGCCCTTTAAAACTCAGTGGATTTTTTTCAATCATAATTTTTCAAAGTGATCATTCTAAAGCTAAAAGGATGTTTGGGTTGTCAATTTCTCATACAGATAGCCTTCTTTAGGGGAGAGTTGCCAAAGCTTTGCTTTCATACTCAAGAATCATTTCTGGAGCCAGCCCTGGTGGTCTAGTGGTTAAGACTGGGCTCTTTCACCACCACAGCCTGGGTTCGTTTCCCGGTCGTGGAACCACACCACCTGCCCGTCAGTTGTCATACTGTGGTGACGGCTCACATAGAGAACTAAAAAATTAACAACTAGGATACACAACCACGCACTGAAGCTTGAATCATTTCTGTACTTTTCTTAGTTGCATTGAAACAAAACGACAGCAAAGCAAACCATTCATTAAAACTACACATAGTGTTACGTGCAGAGAGAAACGAAGACACGACAGGCAAAGGCAGATGAGACCCAGTAATTACCAAAATGGAACGAGCAACAGCTCTTACAGTTCTTGCTAATTTTACTGATAAGCCCTTGTCTACTGAATGACTCTTTTTCTAGCTAAAAATAGTAAAATGCTTGCACAGATGGTACTGTTTGAATGGAAGAGAATCTTCCCCTAAAGCTCTCCGAGAAGCTCCAGAATTTTAGAGGAGATAAAAACTAAACATAGCTGTATTCTGGGAAAACTTCTCAAAATTAAAAAAAAAAAAAAATCTAATGGCCCTCTGGTAGTGGGTACTTCCTTGGCTCCAGAAACTTCTCAATTTCTCTTTCAGGGACCTTGGGTGTGTTTGCTTTCTCTCTCTTTCAATCCGAGAGCTACGTCATCTTAACTCCCGTTGATGAAATACATTTGTGATGCAATTCACCAAATAATGAGATTTTATTCTTCTTCAAAGTCTGGATAAGAGCAGCCTGAGAGGCCTCAAAAAAAATTCTTCTCACAGGATAGTGAAATGAGAAAAGACAAAGTAACCATCCAATAAGTAGCATTTCTAGAAATGCTCTCTCTCTTTTGATCTTTTGTTTCCCATGCATATTCCTGGGAGTTGGGAGGAAGTATTGCTAATTTTCACTCCTGCTTTACAACTAAAGCATCAACATCAAGTCCTATTCATTCATTCCAGAAGCAACACAGTTCATTCGTTAGCCTCAGGGGCTCACTGCCAGCACGTCAATTGCTCGGCTGATTAATACTAACTGATGAGGTAAGTTTTTGGCCACGTTCATTTTGGCTGGGTAGGCTTGCAGCTAATGAAATGCCTCCTTCTCTAAAAACAATCAAACAAACATAGCAAGGTTTTCTTTCCCTAGCTAGGGAGAACTTACTGGGTTCTTGAGACCACCTTACCTTGAAGATACATTTCCTCTCCTTCTGTGAACATCTGGTTGCATCTGCTGCATCGTGCACAGCTGGGGTGGTAATGTTTGTCACCTGCCTGCAAGAGAAGAGGTAGGGAATATTTAGTCTACTCCTGGTCACCGCTCCCAGCCTCTTTTCTGGACTTGGGGATTTGGAGGAAAAGAGAAGAAGCTGAGGCAGGAAAAATAATTGTCCAATTGACCAAACTTTCTACACCAACAGCCCTAGAAGCTGACGCCAACCCACTGGAACCGGGAGGGGCTCAAAGACCTGCCAGGTCGTGCCTGCCAGGATGGGGCCGCCTTGCCTCTTGGGGTTTCCAGCTTCCATTTCTCTCTCGGCTTGGGCTCTCCTGGATGGTTGCCAGTTACACACCATGTGTCTGAGACGAGTCCACCCCATCTCCCAAAAACCCCACCTCAAAAGCATTAACATCCGAATTGATGTTGGAAGCCAATGTCAGTCTGTACTAAAGCAATAAAAAGAAAGGATCTTATTTATAGGTTCTTGCTTTCTTGGCTAAACAGTCTGAAAATAATGAAATCTACCCAGCTTACAACAAGATGAGAAAAACCATAGTAAAAGACATCATCTGCTTCTTCTATCTCAGAAGGAGCCCAAATTCTCTTCTGCTGATAATAATCTTTTGCCAAAATCTTATAATGTTTTCTGAAGAAGGCATTTTACTGAGGTGGCTCTGCATTATTCATGGGCATTTCACATTCCTAAATATGACAGATGCCATCACAGCAGGTAGTGACTTCCCCAAAGCAAAGTGTTACTGGACACAGGGACAATTCTCTAGACAGATGCCAAGTCACATTAGAGTCATGCTCCAAATACATGCCGGACAAAATGAAATCCTTTTGTTTACAGCTTAGCAAAAACTCTCAGCACCTAAAAATTATCAAATGTACTCTGCAATGAAATCATTCTATCAATGAACTGTGAAAACATTTCTTCTCCATTAACCACGTGCAAGGCAATGCTGAGAGCCCAGGGTTAAAAGTGGCTGCACCCTGCGCCTACATAAAATCTCAACAGGAAAGCAGAGGTCAGCTAGTGATTCGTTTCTCACAGCCTCCTGTAGAAACCATAAAAGCCACTTAGCAACCAGTGTGTGAGATGGTGGGCAGCTACTCAAGATAATCAAGTCGAAAAAAATTTAAGTTATTTTAAAGTAGAAGCCTGGAATGAAATCTTTTCAGTGGTGCCTGCCAGAAAATTCCAGAAGTGGAAATCTTGTTCTTATCCACACAGCACTTTTTATTTATTTTTTTCCTGGGGGTTGAGGGGAGCGTAGGAAATGTCAACACAAAGTGGTTCCTTCCCTTAGGCCATCCAGGGTCCAGTGTGAGTGAAAGCAGGAAGGGAAAAGATATTACTCAGTTCTAAACCAGGTTGGCTGAGCTGGGATGTCAATGCTGGGAGGTCCCAGGCAGTTAGGATAATCTCTGGATTCTCAAGGAAAATGTAGGGGAAAGAATTAAGGCCCCTTGATAGGAATCTTGTGTAGTCTACAGCAAAAAGCACACCCCTCAGTAAGTTAGGAATAGAAAGAAATGTCTTCAAACCGATAAAATATATCTACCACATTTAGTGGTGCAACATTGGAAGCATTCTCATTAGAGATAGGAACAAGACAATGATGTACATTTTCACTAATGTTTTTCTACATTGTTTAGTCCTATCCAATGTGATAAGTCAAGAAAAAAAAATAAGTATGAAGGTCACTAATAAAAGAGTTCAGTCAAGTAGCCAGATAAAAAATTAACACATAAAAACCAATAGTTTTCCTATTCACTAGTAATACAAATTTACTCAGTGTAATGGGACCCCATTTGTAATAGCAACAAATAAACCCTTCCATGCAAGGTCTACACAAAGAAAGCTATAGAACTTGACTGATGGACATAAAAGACTTAGAGATATACACTATTTTTGGATGAGAAAACTAAATATTGTAATTTATCTAAAATGAACCTATTGATGCAATGCATTCCCAATCAAAATCACAGCAACGGGGCTGGCCCAATGGCTTAGTGGATAAGTTTGCGCACCCTGCTTTGGCAGCCTGGGGTTCAGGGGGTCGGATCCCGGGTGCAGACCCACGCATGCTTATCAACCCATGCTGTGGCAGCGTCCCATATAAAGTAGAGGAAGATGGGCACAGATGTTAGCTCAGGGCTAATCTTCCTCAAAAAAAAATATTCACAGCAGTTTCCTCTATAGACCCTGACAAGCTGATTCTATAAGTTCCCATGGAAGAAAAAAATGCACAAAAATACAAGGACATTTTTGAAAAAGAGAGGAACAATGAGGGGGGATTTTCCCTTCCCAATATAAAAATTTATTCTAAGGCCAAAATAATTAAAGTGCTTTAATATTGATGCATAAATAGAAAATAAATCAGTGGAACAGAAGAGAGGAATCAGTTGCACGGCCATGCGCACGAAAAGAGAATTTAGTTTACGACAAGGGTGGCATTTCAAATGAGTTGAAAAAATGGATTATTCCATTAATGGTGAAGATGATGGGTTTTCCACTTTGGCAAAAGTAAATCTAGATTCCTAACTCATAACCTACACAAAAATGAATTCTAGGGAGTTACAAAGCTAAATGTAGAAACAAAATTCTAGAAATATTAGAAGGATGCATAGGAGACTATTTTTAATAAACTTGGGGTAAGAGGCTTTCCTCAGCAAGGGAAAACCTAGAAACAATTAAGACAAATATTGACTGTACACAAAAAAATAAAAATCTCTAGACATAAAACAAAGTTAAAAGAGAAGTAAAGGTGGGGGCCAGCCCAGTGGCGTAGCAGTTAAGTTCATGCACTCTGCTTTGGTGGCCCGGAGTTTGCAGGTTCGGATCCCGGGCATGGACCGACGCACCGCTTGTCAAGCCAGGCTGTGGCAGCGTCTCTTATAAAGTAGAGGAAGATAGGCACAGATATTAGCCCAGAGCCAATCTTCCTCAGAAAAAAAAAAAAAAAAAAAAGAAAAAGAAAAAGAAAGAGGAGGATTGGCATCAGATGTTAGCTCATGGCTAATATTCCTCACACACAAAAAAGAGAGAAGTAAAGGGAAGAAAATATTTGCCATGCATTTCAGATAAAAGATTATTATCTAGAATATATAAAGAGCATCTATAGGGGAAAAAAAAAAAAAAGGCAATATGGGCAAAAAGCAATTTCCAGAGGAAATGTAGATGACCAAACACTGCTAAGAAACAGTATCATCGTAATGCCAGGGACATCAATCTTGACCCATGCATTTGCTTCATCCCACGATGCTGAACATGTCAAGAAATTCAGTGAGCCCGAATCAAAGGGCAGTTTCATAGCCATCCAAAGTCTTTATCTTTTTGTTGAAGTGCAGGCCTGGGGGGCCGCAGGGTCAGATGCTCAAGGATAAAGGAGCCGCTCCTTTGCACGTGTAAGCCACCCCCTCTCTGTTTCAGTTTTTCTTACACTGACACCCATGACAGTTTGCAGACAAGCCCTGTGCATGGGGCCAGGAAAAGTATCAGAGCTGAACACAGACACAGGGTCATACGCAAACTAACCAAAAAAATGGATGTAGCTGAATCAGAATTATTTAAATTGGGTCATTTTTAGAAGAAGGAAAAGTATTTCAAATCATGAACAAAATGAAAGTCTAAATAGTGCCCATACAAGAATGAATAATAAACATACAATTTACTGTGGAGAGGCGGCTACTGATTACAGACTTGAAAGCACAGTGGGCTTTGTTGTGACAGGTGATCTCACGAGGGGTGGTTACCAGGTACCTGGCCTCAGGCCTACATCCTACAACCCTGCTCTGCCTGAGCCTGGGAGGCCAGATGTACCGCCGGGGCTCACCAGAGCTCTGTCGTCACTATTCTCCATCCATCTTTGTACCCTGCTATTAAAAAATTACAGCCTTATTTTCTTCATTTTCATATATTCAAAATGCACATGCTAAAAGCCCACATTCTGGCTGGCATTAAACTCTATGGACAATAAACAATTAGCTTTTTTAGCTGTTTTATAAAGCACTTGCCTATACATTCAAAGTGCTAAAAATTGCTTGCCTTTAATAGTGCTGATTAAGTCAGGTTTGTGTGGTTATTATTACTATTAGGTTAATCTCTAAAGTATGAACATTAGCCTATAGGCTAGAACTACATCTGGGGAAATACTTCCTACTTTAAGGCAGGATTTGGTGTAAGGCACCAAATTTTTGATGAAACCCACTGTCTAGAAGAGCAGAAAGGAGTTCTGAACCCCTTGTGGACATGGGGTGCCCGGGGAAAGGGCTATAATATTTCGAATCAGGAGATTTGGCTATTCTTTAATTTCTTACTCATGGGACCTCAATTATGTCACTACTTACCCTCTCCAAGCCCCAGGCCCCTCATCTGTAAAAAGCGAAGGCTGGACTAGACAATTTCAAGTCCCATTCAGCTATAAAGTTCTATGATTCTGTGTGAAATCCCAGACCTCCACAAGCTCACAGAGCAGTGTTAACAGAAAAGTAATTTGGATAGAGAAAGGAAATTCTTGATGGCAGGGAATGGAATTTAATCAATGACTCTGTAGTGCCCGACACCCAGGAGGAATTCTGCTGCCCTGACTAAGCCCTGTGCCTACTGTAGTAGGCCACCGGGAGGAGAAAAAGAGAACTGTCATTATAGACTCCGGCCTTGGACAGATAATCCACTTAGCTCCTGGATGGCTAACTGTCCTTTTTAGTTTCTCTTTGCCTCCTTTCTCTTGGAGTGCTCTACTCCAGAATGAGCCCAGGAGACGTGGAAAATGGCCCTGAGGTCAACCTTCAGCCATTTATAACTTATGCCCTTCCTACCTCCAAAAAGGACTTGCAGATGCTTATCAGAGAAGGCCATGATCTAAAAACAATTGGACAAAAAACTTGAGAGGAAAAGAAAAATCAAAAGACTCCAAACTCAGCCAAACATGTTTGTTGTGATGTGAGTTTCACAGCAGATGAGGACAAAAGGGAAAATGGGCCACAAAAGTCTGTGTGAAAAAATGGCCACATATAATTGTCACCAGAGAGGCAAGGTTTCCTG